AAACCTGAAAGTCACAATTCCGAGCAGGTTTCCCATGTTTGTGAATTTCCTCCATTTAAGAAACGCCTACTGAAATAAGATAAATGTACGATCTTATAATTCATTTCGAGCGGAGTACTGTTAAAGTAACGGTACATAATGCAGCGTTGAGTCTGAACTAGTATTACAAGATGAATTGATCCTGATCGTTCCAACAGGTTGTGAAGGTAAAGAATTTTTACATCTGCTACCGATTATTAGGCATTGGACGGTAATAAAAATCTACCTTATACTCCAAAAGTCTACGATGCGGATGTTGTTATATTTACGAGGAAGGTAGTAAAATGAGTGTGTTTGACCACATTGTGTACAATGTAATTACCGTTTTATCTTCCGTATGGTCTGCACATCAACAAGCATATCGCCATCCATCTTAATTCACCGAAAAATACGTACATTGATCAGTCAGACTATATTTCGTTATTATATCATTTACACCAAAATGAAAACTATAAATATTGAACTTTTGAACATGCTTTTTTATTGTAGAATATCGTAAACTAAGAGATGGTACCTATGTAGCATTTCGAGGTTAAGGCCGTACGGTAAGAAGTATGATGGAACTTTAAAAGGTTTGAAAATTTACCTCAAGTCGATACCTATATTCTTGAAATCGTATCATAGACGTCTTGATCCAAAACAAGAAACAGAAACCCACGTAATTGCACAAGACAGCACCAGTTTTAGGTAAGAAATTATACACGGCACCGAAACGAGCAATGTGCTTTCCGAATTCGCTTTATTACTTTAAAGAGTTGATTTTTAATATCACGACACTTTATAATTTGAAAAACAATGCAAGAAACATCGAGGTACCTAACACGCAATCGCGAGTTTAAATTCAAAGGGGACGCCATCATAACCACAAACATTGAAACGTTTGAAAACACCGATTTATGTAACGACGGGCCGAAAATAACGACGTGCCACAATTTTCCAAGTGTTTAGTTTTAATTTTCTCGCGTTTATTTTGTTATGATCGTTCTTATTTTCAATGAAAACGGAAAAAAGCTGCATAGGACGCGTAAGCGGCTTCAACGATAAACTAAAAACTGGGTCACGTGACATTACGCGATGACGTAGTAGGTACGACGTCATCGCACGTGACTGATTTAAAAAGATGGTCAAATCACAGCGCTTTTAAAACAAAATTTGGCATTGTTTATTTATCACGGATTTCAATTTAGGAGAAAACTACTTTTCTTTTGTGAAAAACTAATCAGTGATTCTTATAATGAAATGCACAGAACAAATTATAAATTCCGTTGACGGAAATTGCCATCTTAAAAGTAACCCCCACAAATTTTAGGGGCATGATGATTCATAGTAAAAAAAGATAATTTGTTTATGATTTAGTTATTAAATTTGGGCATCAGATTTTAAAAAAAAATAAGGAAATTATAACGCGTTATTTGCAATGGTGTAGCCGCCAGGAAATCCAGAGCCTTCAGGAAAAAATGAAAATAGTTACTAAAGGTCCCACAATTTGGAACAGATGCCGTAGGGTTGAATTCTAAAAGGACAATTGAACGTCTGCAGATGTTCATGTATAAGGGCGAGTCCTAGGCTACCCAGAGACCGATTCCAACACAGGGTTACAAAATGTGGTAAAGGGCTCTTTAAGAAACATTTGCAATATCTTTATTAATTTTTTCCATCACTCTCGCAATAAACCTACATACTGCTACCTCAGTACTCTAGGTATGTACACCGAAACGAAAGTACACAAGTTCTACTTTACGCTGACCATAAGGCCTATTGTAGCTGCTCTAGACTTCTACCACTTGCAGTCCAATAAAATAAATAACACAGGCCATATACGACAAATTTCAATTCGCTAACTCGCCTACTACCATCTAGTGAATGCAATCTTGAGTCGAGATCTCACTTGATTAGAAATTACAATCTCACGTCTCGGGTAGTTTTCGAAAAAAAAATATTGTTTATATTGGATAATTAGAAAGAAATGAAAGGTACTAACATAACATGTGATTATGAGGTTGATCAACACTGTGGCACCAGGGTGAGTAAACTATTGCAAAAAGCTACTCCTTGTTTCCCAACACTCATATACATCTATCATCATCACATCTATAAAAAATGGAGCACAATAGTTTATAACTTGGTTTATAGTGATTTATTTGGTAGAATATGTTAATATATTTTCCGTACACCTTGATGGTAGAAGGGTTTTGATTATAATAAATAATAACGTTACAATTCTTGTTGTTTATTCCAAATTATGCTGTAAAGGATCATGACGGTTGTTGGGGCTATAATGTAACTGTAATTCACAGGGCTCTGTGAAGTAGGCAAGCACAGTTGAAGCACTAGACCTCGGGTATGGCCCATTCATTAGTGCTTCGTTAGTGCTTTCTAGTGCCTTATTAATTTTCTAGTCAACACCTAGCGGCATTGACTTAACCGGATTGTTTGTCCACTACACTAGCAAGCACTTTCGAAGCACTATGTCTCATTGTTTAGTGCTTCGGTAGTGCTTCCTGGTGCTTCAATTATTTTGGTAGCAACAACTATGGGGTAAAAAATATGGCGACTTTTGCGACTTCACTGTGAAGTTAGCAAACACCATGTAAGCACTATACTTGTGAGATGTCTCATTATTTAGTGCTTTGGTAGTGCTTCCTAGTGCTCTAATTATTTTGGTAGCAACATCAAGCGGGTGAAGAATATGACGACTTTTACAACTTCTCTGTGAAGTTAGCAAACACCCTGAGACACTATATTTGTGAGGTGTCTTATTCTTTAGTGCTACATTAGTAATTCCTAGTGCTGTAGGTTTGAAGCTCTACTTTTATATTTAATGTCACTAAGGGCCGATTCTACAATGCAGGTATATATCGAGAATAACCTATATACCTAGAATAAACGTCGACGGTTGCGTTGTTACCTATGCGTCAACCAATGGAATACTTGTTACTATGGCAGTTATTCCAAGAATATCTTATTCTGCGAGAGGTGTAATTGTAGAACCGGCCCTAAATAATATATTACTGTGTATAAATTAATATTATGCTCAATATTAATATGACGGTTTAATTCGACTCCCAACTCAATTTTCGTCTTTTAAGAACTTTGCGTATTTCAAAACACAATGAAATCCTATAATGTAAACACATGTTAAGAAGCGAGTCGACCAAGATCGAAAACTATACCTCTCGCCAGGAAAGATTGCCGGTCACAGCACACCTTGTGTCAATTTACAATCTATGTTTTTTTTAAGATGCTAGCGACTTCCGGAATAGAATCGTGCTAATGTTCAACGAAAAGACTTTTCGTTCAACATTGGCACGATCCTATTCCGGAAGTCGCTCACATCTTTAGAAAAATACAGATTGTAGACCGGGATCTGCGTTTTTCTGTAACCGGCAATCTTTCCTGGCGAGAGGTTTAGGAAGGTTAAGGTACATCGTTTCTCTATGCGTTTTTCACTTTAAACTAATAAGAGACTAACGAGAAATGAGGAACTTGTTCGATTCATTAAAGAAGCTTTACAAAATATAAATTAGGATGTGAGGGGTTAGCATAGGTAATCTACTACTAGAGAACGATGTACCTTAACCTTCCTAGTTTTCTATCTTGGCCGACTTGCTTCTTAAGATGTGTTTACATAATAGGCTTTCATTGTGTTTTGTCATACGCAAAGTTCTTAAAAGATGAAAATTGTGTTGGGAGTCGAATTAAACCGTCATATTAATATTGAGCATAATATTAATTTATACACAGTAATATACAATGCGATCAAAAATGATTGGCTGTCTAGTCGCCTTTGGAATTTTTGTTTACATGGGAAATCCTATTTAACTTGAACTTCCTAAGGCGACTCGACAGCCAATCATTTTTGATCGCCCGATATTATTTAGGGCCGGTTCTACAATTCAACCTCTCGCAGAATAAGATATTCGTGGAATAACTGCCATAGTAACAAGTATCCTTGTGGACATTAAATATAAAAGTAGAGCTTCAAACCTACAGCACTAGGAATTACTAATGTAGCACTAAAGAATAAGACACCTCACAAATATAGTGTCTTCAGGGTGTTTGCTAACTTCACAGAGAAGTTGTAAAAGTCGTCATATTCTTCACCCGCTGGGTGTTGCTACCAAAATAATTAGAGCACTAGGAAGCACTACCGAAGCACTAAAGAATGAGACATCTCACAAGTATAGTGCTTACATGGTGTTTGCTAACTTCACAGTGAAGTTGCAAAAGTCGCCATATTTTTGACCCGATAGTTGTTGCTACCAAAATAATTGAAGCACCTGGAAGCACTACCGAAGCACTAAACAATAAGACATATCACAAGTATAGTGCTTTCAGTGTGTTTGCTGGTGTGAAGTTGGCAAGCAGTTCACAAAAATATCGATAAATCGTGAATGGCAAGTGTTGCTGCAAAATTAATTGGAGCATTTAGAAGCACTAACGATTGAACCATATATCGACGATAGTGCTTCGAAAGTGCTTGCTAGTGTGAAGTGGACAAACAATTCGATTAAGTCATTGCTGCCAGGTGTTGACTAGAAAATTAATAAGGCACTAGAAAGCACTAACGAAGCACTAATAAATGGGCCATACCCGAGGTCTAGTGCTTCAAGTGTGCTTGCCTACTTCACAGAGCCAATTCACAGTGATTATTAATTCGACCGCGTTAAAGCAAATTCAAATTTAAGCGCGCTTGTGTTTGCGCAGTACCGAGGGAGTCAATATGCAACACATCTGCAAGTCACCAACTTTAGCTTATACCTCTCGCCAGGAAAGATTGCCGGTCACAGAACACTTGATCCCGGTCTACAATCTATGTTTTTCTAAAGATGTGAGCGATTTCCGGGAAAGTATCGTGTCGATGTTGAACAAAAAGACTTTTCGTTCAACATTGGCACGATCTTTTTCCGGAAGTCGCTCGCAGCTTAAGAAAAACATAGATTGTAGAATGACACAAGGTGTGCTGAGATCGGCAATCTTTCCTGGAGAGAGTTATATTTTTTCCTTGAACAAGAAAACAGCTGTTCTAAACTGGGCTCTATTTACAATCCACTTTTGTGTCAATTTTTGAGCTAAAAACAAACAGCACCATGTAAATTGAATTAAAGTCTTCCTAATTAAATTAGATATTTTCAACACTTTCTAACTCCGTCAAGTATAAATACGAGATCAACCGTGAAACGGACCACTTTTTCAGAATATAAAATAATGTGTATAGGTTATGTAACAAACTTTTATTCACAATGGTCTAAAAACACACTATTCAATCGTTTTACAATACAGAACACTGTACTCGTCGAAAATGGATATTTACTGTGACCACAGCCATGAAAGTGATTATGATGATGATAAATTGCTGCTTGACGACGAAAACACGAATCACGACTCGTGCAACAAGTGTCGGGCAAAGTTTACCTCTACAAGCGGCTTCGTTAAACCTGTATTAAACGATCGAGCTTCTGTTACAGTGGTCGATGATATGAATGTCGACTTGCCACAGTTGATGAACGTAATAAAGCGTCGCATTGAAAATCCATTGGTCTACAGTCGAATTTTAGGGTCACAGTACGGAGCTGCACGATTTCCATTGTCACAAAAGGGTCAAGGTTTACGATGACCAAAAAGCTTGGAAAAAGCTAATATCTGTCTCTCTGTTGTGCTTCTTCTTTATGGTAACGTGATGGCGGTCACTCCGACTTAATAACCGTGTCTTTTGTAGTTAACTGAATTAATCGGCGGCTATTTGGCAGGTAGCTTAGCTGTAATGACAGATGCGGCACATTTATTTTCGGACCTTATAGGTTTTTTTGTATCGTTGATATCGATATGGATCGGTAAGAAGGCCCCGACCCGTGTCATGACATTTGGATATCATCGGGCCGAAGTGCTAGGTGCCTTTCTTAGGTAATTTGCCATGAAATTGTCTCTACAATATTCGGACAGTGTTCTTTTTTTAGTGTGCTGGCGGTATGGTTATTAGCAGGAATCTTCTGCGTGGTTGCTGTAGGTAGATTGTTACATAAAGAGTACGAGATTGATGTCGATACTATGTTAATTGTCGCGTCAATTGGTGTAGTAGTCAATATTTTGTAAGTATTGTCATAGTCACGATACACTTACAACGGTATGCTCTTGCGCATCTAGCGTGACGTCACGTGCGAACAAAACCACAGAATATAGAGCAAAATTACGCTTCTTAGATCGACAAATCACACTGATTTTGTGTAGAGATCGTCGCGGCGGGTATTTCTGGGATTTGGTGATCGTATGAAATAAACTTGAATCAAAAATATTGGCCCTAAACATGAAGTGCGGCTTTTTCAGTAAATATTATGTAATTAATGCTTTATTAAAAGATCGAATTTCTCTTCCGTTTCCCTTTTATTTTGATTTTCATTTTACGTGGTAGTTTTAAAGTAGGTAAAGCATCAGGTTTTCAAATGTCCGCTGTTTTTAAAAGTAGGTTTAATTAAGAAATCGTTCCCTTAGCGGTGCTTCAAAACGGCTGGCTTCAACATGTTCAGAGCAAATACAGGCTATAGAATTAAACAGCAATGGAAAGACTTAAATACACCACTTAATATTAATGTAACACCATTTTTCAAGTTAATTTTGTCCTTACGACGACTTGCAACAATCCATTTTTGAGAAAAGTTTTCAATTTTCCGAAATCGAAAGTATTTTATTTCCGTTCCTTTTGTTTTTCTATTAGAATTGCCCCATTGAGCCACTACAGAACCTGGCATTTTGGAAATTTCACTAATGATTAATTAGCTATCAACAAATTAACGGTAAACCTCGTAGATACAAGATACAACTTATAAGTTGCAAAACTGTCACGCGTGACATGTGTACTACTAGATCGGCCCTGGCGTAAACATTTGAATTTTGGCGCCACATGTTCGCAGGTGACGTAATGCGCAGTAGAAAACGCGTTTGAGAAAAATAATGAGCATACCGTGTGTAAGTGTATCGTGGTCATAGTGTAAACAATGGAATAGTGAGACAACCTCACTTGTGTGCGGGTATGCAGAGCAAATCTGATTATGTGTATTCTCTGTGCTCACTATTCTATTCTGGACACCATGGTATTGCTCTTCGAATAGATAAATAACCGAAGTATTCCAGAATGGGAGCTGTGCTACATGGTATGTGCCATACTCACTCGCATACCGGAGCAGTACACGCCCATCACGGCGAAAATATAAATGTACGCGCCGCCGCTGCACATATCATAGGAGACTTACTTCAAAGCATAGGCGTGTTGATAGCGGCAGTTATAATTAAAGTATTTCCGAATGCGCAAGTCGCCGATCCTATTTGCACTTTACTATTCTCCGTAATAGTAGTATACGCCACACTGAGAGTAGCTCATGATGCAATCAAAATTTTATTGGAAGCGAGTCCGAAACACGCTGGCGACCTCAAAATGCAGTTTACCAAAATATCAAGTGTTAAGCATGTGCATGAGGTGCACGTATGGTCTCTTGCTCCCGGTAAAGAGGCGGTTACAGTACACTTGGCCGTTGGTAAGTTGGACATTTCGCCAGTCTAAATCCAATTCTTCGCATTTTACAGATCAAGACTGTGATAGAGACTTCGTACTTAAACAAGCAACGTGCATTATACGAAATGAATTAAATGCGGTCAGCTGTACAATTCAAATAGAAAAGTATAATCAAGAATTAATTCAACTGTGTAGCGATTGTCAGAACCTTTAATTACGAGATTTATGTTTGTGCGTTTGTTAATCTTATAATATGTAACAGTTTCGTTATACGGATTGAAGCTCTTGCAGCACAAATTTATTTGTGATACTCTGTCAATAATGATATTCACATCTGTGATTTTAAATTATTTGTTCTAATCAGGTATTGTATTAAAAATGTATACTGTATATTAGTTTCATTAAAATATGTTGCGTTAAAACATTTTAATTTATTATCTATCAACAATAACTACAAAGGACCCATATGTTAGAAATCCCATTCGCAGGTGAAAAGATCCAAATTTGACATCTTGTGAATTGTGTCCAAGTTTGCTAAATCATCTGGAACAAGAAATAAATATAATAATAATAATATATTTATTTTTCTACTATATATCTGAAATGCAAAAGATAACTACTGAAGTGGTTTGAAACTATGTACTTGTAATGGATTTACAAAAAAAAGCTACAATGATGCATACAAACTGAACTAAGCACTGCCGTTTACAAGCTTGCCAAATAGTACACGCCCCTATTCCAGTATCCACACCTGAACCTTTTTCTTGAAAGCGGGATAGGTAGGTAAGCCGTGGAAGAATGGAATAAAGTCTTCGAGCTTGTGGCCCTTGGAAAATGTATAGGCGTGTATAATAAGAGCGCATGTTGGATAACAAAGTAATTTTGAATTTTTCCATTAACTGGAGAATCAGTAAAGTTGCCTTAAATCCTTAGAATTCAATGTACATTTCTTAATAATACATGAATGCCTTTTATGTGGTAATCATCCCCCCCCCCCCCACAAACGATTCCATTAATTAGATTAACGAAAAATAGAAAAAACAATAAATCTCATAGGTGTTTAATTTTAGGACTAACTGCTGTTAATTTCAGTTTTAAATGTATTAAAATCATAAATATAAAACTGTACATTTCGGGGCAATATAAAGAAAGAAAATGAACTCATTAAGTATTGTAGCGAACATTCCAGAAATTTCGATAGACATCGAGGCGGATGATGTGGGAAATATTTCGTGCTTGTTCGAGAAAAATTGTAGAATAGTCAGATGCTCGAGAGAGAGAGAGCTTTAGCTATTTACACGGTGTCCATTTTTCGAGTGCCACTATGGGGATCTCGCTTACCTTAAGAGATAGAAACTTGGTTAAATTAGAGCAAAGTTGCGAATTTTCGTGCTGAATAATAATCTAAAAAGAAATTTATAATATCTTCAATAGTTTTGAAAATATGGCAAAAAATCGAAAATTTCTGATTTTCATTTTTAACTTTTTCATGGTCAACTAATTGTACTAGACATTTCTAATTAACACATTATTGAGACACTTTAATGGAGATTTCGAATAGGGCATCCCGTTTTTAATAACTTTCAAAATAACGGAGAAACACGTGGCAACTTTAGTTTCGAGCAGCCCACGTCATGCTCATTTTTGTGTGATATGTAGTGTAAAAATTCCAGCCAACTAGGACTTCAGTTCTGGAGAAAAGCAACCTCACAAAAAAACCAACAACCTTAATTCTTCATTCCTATCCAACAAAGTTGATACCACGATAAATAAAGGAGTTGCAAATTTTTTATTGGAATCATGTCCAATTTTTTGCCATATTTCAGCCCTTAAAGAGACCGAAAATGGACCCACAGCTCAAAACATACTTCATTTTTGGATTCTACGTACCCGATTTAGTACATTCCAAAACTTTTTTTTCGGATCAACGACCTCCACATAAAGATAACGGACAGAATCGCACGAAAATTACATCCTATGGCAAATTGGGTGCGTATAATCCAAAAATACAGTCGGTTTTGTGTTGAAGGTCTTGGATCCTCAGAAATAACCACAAGGAAAAGAGAATGCGAAAAATTACATTAAGATATACAAGGTGTTGTATTTAAAAAATACCAACTTTGGTTCAAATCTCAGAAACAGTAGTTCAAAATGTTCTTGACTACGCCACTGGATTCTACGTAAAAATATCTAAAATAAAGTTTTTATTTCATGTAAATATAGGTCCGCAACCGTCCGTTACCGATCTACAGGGTGATATAATTTCACGATTTTTTAAAACTCTTCTATATATGTCCTGCAATTTTAGGATATTTAGCTCAAATTAGGAATATTGTATATGTATTTTCTGTAGTTGACTAAATGAAAGTCGAAATCTCTAAAATGATCCAGTAGGCTCTCGCTTTATTTTAATAATCTCTTGTTTTTTTTATTGATTTTGACAGTTCACATTTAAAATTATATCTTGTGTTTGTAAATTAAAGATTTAAATTGTATGGTCATATTTAGGAACACTCTGTATATATACAGTATGATGTCCAGAGATAAGGTTCGCTACACCTATAAAATCGACCATTTTTTTCATTTTTCAAGGAAAAGTTATTCTGTGTACAAAATTCAGCATGCAGGGTTTCTGCACAAATTGAAAACCTCCAAATATGAACAGATAAAAGTCAGGTCAAGTGTGCTTTTTGAAGGAATAATTATACTATGTGCCCCAGGGAACCAGGGCACCATAGGGAAACGGAATTAATGATTTTTTCGTGAAGGATCCACGAGGCCTTTGATAATATATATATAAAGTTAGCGCTCAACGTATGTTATTGTGCTTGCCTGATGGTAAAAAGAGATGGGAGTAGTACGTTGAAAGGTAATTTCAAAGGCCTCATGGATCCTCTGCAAAATTCCCGTTTCCTTATGGTGCGTTCTACCTGGGACATACTGTATATAGAAGAAATTTTTTTATCTTGTGGATATATTTCAAGTTTCCAACCCATAGGCAACACAACACACACTTAAGTAATAAAAAGAAATAAACCGTTTAAAATATTCCTCGATTTCATGCAAGATGAGCAGGGATAGTCTGTAATCGCGTTAGTAAATAAATACAAAAAATGAGTATAACATTTCAAAAACGAGACTAAAAATCATGCAGCAGAAAATCTTTTTTCACAACAAATTTGCTACAAAACAAGGGTAAATTTCTGGGGATAGCGATAACCGGGGCCGATCTTTGTCTACCTAAATGGACATCTAGCACCTAGATCACAAATGGTAAAAACTACGTACAAAATACCATTTTTTGATGCAAAAAGCCCTCAAGTCAGAAATGTTTGAACATAGAGAAATACATAGACCTGATTTCCACGTGCATTCTTAAAAAATATTTAAAAAATCAATGTAGCAGATATCAATAAAATTAACCAAGTCATCTACGAAATAATACAGATAGAAACACTCCTTGGTAGATGAAAAAACTTTTGATTAAGACCAGTGCACAAGTGAAGTCTTACAGTTACGTAGAGTGCAAGAAAATTATGGTACATTGAAAAAAAAACAAAAGAAAATATGAGTACGTTCGCTGTTTATTATAAGTTTACCTAGCCAACTATCTGTTACTGTACCTACCTGTATTATGAGCAACTCTATCGCTCAATGGCAAAACTGGTTTCAACAAATCCGGCAAATATAAGCCCCTCCGACTGACTTTTAAATACGAATGGTTACATAACTGTGCTGCAGTTGGTCGACACAACGGCTCCCTTTGTAGGCACAAGGCGGTCAACTGGTGTAGACCCTCGCTAAACCTTCTATTCGCCTGATTATGCGAAAAACCTACAACTTTCTACAATAAAATCGATAAAACTCGAGAAAGTCGTACCGTTTAGTTCATTATTCTCATTTCTGGAAATAGTGGAACAATCCAATAATTGGGGAGCGGCTCCCCTAACCTTTTCCACAAGCATTAAGGTTGTGGCCATGCCCGCAAATGGCTCACTACCGTTCGCCAACTCGCATAAAACAACACCGACACTATAAATATCAGATTTTTCATTATAGCCTAGCAGATTTTGTTCTAATACTTCCGGGCTGAGCCAGTTTAAATTTTTCGAAACATTTATCGGAAACGTGTGAATCTGTTTCTGCCATTTGCCCTGCTCGATTATAGGGCACGCATATCTTAGACCCGACAAACATGCATTACCCTTTCGAGATATCAATATATGACTAGCTCTTATTGCTCTGAAATTTAAATTCTTCACTGAATTGCTAGGTAAGTTCCAGCGTGTTTACCTATGTATAATACCCTTTCTGTGAATGTAATCTAAACCTTCCAACACATCTTTGAGTATTAAAGTGATGGCGTTCTCAGGTAAACCTATAAGGAGCTTGTTACAGTTGCTACTAAAAAAAGTAACACATTACCTTGACTGAAATGATGCGTATCTAAGAGATCTTTACAGGAACCGAAAGCCATTAAGGGACTAATCACGCATACTTCCGGACCATTCACAAACGAAGAAAAGTACTTAATGATGTTAGGATGCTGCAACTGTCTTGTTAAAATAATTTCATGCTGCAAGAGACCGCAGAATAAGACTTTAAAAATCGCATCGTACCAACTCACTTCAACTAAATATGAATCCTCCTTAAGTTTGTCCATATTATATCTTTTGATGGCAACCAGTTTAGCCGAGGGTGTATGCTTTGCCAGTAAGACATTTACGAAACCATCCCAACACTGCGATAGTATAGAAATTGTGCTGTAGTGGTCAATGTTGGTTTCATAACTAACCATCATGGTTACCGTTGCAATTAGACTAGTTCGAAATAATCGAATTTCTTTAGGTACTTCAACACTTGGAATGTCTTCCCTAGTGGGCATAAAAAAACGTCCTCGCGTTTGGATATAATTACTAACCTACAAAGAAAAGGACGAGTTCTCCTTTCAAATTCAAATTAAAGGACCATACTGATTTATTTAGACTTCAAAATTAAAACAGAAAAACCTCAATTTCAAATTTGCAGGTTATAATTACACCCAGATGTCAAACTTTGATATCAACTTTCATACAAGACATTTCTCATACATTCGTATCATGCACGCAGGGAACAACAAACAATAAAGCTCTTGGAGTCCCCTTGACCGCCAACCAGGTTGTCAGGTGCCCCTGGATCCAGAGTGCAGCCTTGTGGAGCCTAGGAAGGACAGCCAGCCTGACCTTCTTTCTTCTCTTCTCTGTTCAGCGCCAGAGATGAGCTTTCGTGGTTTGAGGGGTATCCTGGGGGCGCTGCCTCTGGTTTATTAAGTTGGTTGGTGTCCGTACACATGTCAGATATGCGTGAAATTTCGTCCTCCCAGCTCCCCACCCACCCCGAAGCCCAACAAGGGGACGTCTATCCAGACGCCAGGGCTACTGGGAGAATATAAATTCTAAAGGGTAGCAGAAAACAGGCCAAGAGGTATCATTCGAGAACAGCCTACTGTCCACTGCTGCTAGCCCTCCAAATGCTCACCCAGTAGGCGGTCTGATCCGACGACAGCTGATTGACCAATGCTGGGTTAGCCATGGCCTCCCATCTTAAGCAAAGTTCCGGTCAAAGTACCATGATCCATTCATCTCACACGGCACAAACACAAGGGTGTTGTCTTTAGTTTGGATTTTCACTTGGAGCCGTCATAAGCCTGGCATTACAAGCCCCCTTGATCACTGAACCACTCAAGTCCCACAAACCACTGAGAAGGCCTACAGGATATAATAAATACCTAACTTAGATCTATATAGCTTTGAACTAATGAAATAAAAACAAATTTTAGTCTTAGTTCAACGATTTAGTTGGGATCACAACCGACTGATCGTTTATAACAATCAACAAAAAAAAAATTCAATCACAAAGAGGAATGTATAAGTAGAACAGCAGGTAATCAATATATGAATCATAACTCGTCGACAGTACGTTTTTCATCACCCTTATCAAACTCTGTACATAAATTAGATTCTCGATTGCACACTTCATAAGCTACATCGCCTTCATTTTTGAAATGATCAATAATACTATCCTCGTAATCATTTATAATTCCATCACACTAAAATCATCGGTCTATTGTAATGTACAAAATAAGGTGAATACTTACGTAGTACTTTAAGCTTTTATTTAAATCATCATCTTGTATAATATCCACCGAGCTAATATCGGAATTGAGTGAACCCGAGCTGGTCGTTAACCTTAACAGAGTGAGCTTCCCGCTGTCCTTCCAGGTTGCACGAACGTAATCGTCAATTTTATCACACGCTTTATCCGCCAATTCGGAAAGGTGAACTTCGGATTTCGCTTCGGAAACTGTCTTCTGCTGAAAATTTCCTGTAGAATCTATCCTGTAGCCGCCAACATCCACCTTTCGATTGGGATCAATTTGTTTAATTAAAGTGTGTAATTCATCTATTGCTACTTTACATACTGCAAAAGAATAAATTATTGGTGTATTTAAACATGTAAGACACTTACTTAAACATTGCAACTCTTTCACGTCTATATGCACAGTGCTCTCTGTATGTAAAATTAGTGTTAAAAAGAGAAAACTTAAAATTATTTTATTCATAATAATGATATTATTAATTTATCTGTTAAAGTAGTTCATGCTAGTTTGATATTTTATTTATATGCCATCTAGTTTTTAGCCAGACACGTTGTTAACCTGTGATTGGTTCATTTTCAAGGTACTTAACCAATCCTAACGTTTGGTTTGTACGCTAAATTTAAACTAATTTGGGGGGAAAAAAATTCAAACCACTTTGATTTAATAATACAAAATTGTCACTTTTTCGATAGGAATATTTACCAGACGGCCCAAATACGTAAAAAGTACTTCATTTTTCAAATTTTAATGTGTTTTATTTAACGGTCGTTTCAAATTTGATAAAATGATAAACACAACTTATGATGACAAGTTTGAGTGAGTGATTCAAAATGGTATCAGTGCCTACCTAAGGCTAATGTGAATCAAATATAGTTTAACAGGTTTTTATCACCCCCCTGAAATTCTATTGTTTATGCTCTTGTCCAATTAAACGCATTCAGTATAGCTGGCGCCATTCTCACTGGCCAGGCTTGCAAAGCATCGGATATTCCATAAGCAAGATGGTTTATATATTTTGTATTGACTTCTGTCTGTCTGTCCGTATGCCTGTCTATCCATCTCTCTGTCCGTATGCACCATAACTTTGTTTAGAAACGTCCGATAGCTTTGGAAATTGGTACATTCTTCAGGATATAAGAAAGGTCGCCATTTTCGGCTACCTAGACTATCGAGCCAAAAAGTTTCAGCCCATCAAAACCTCCACAAAGAAGGGTTTATCTTTTATAATTCTTGTTGCAAGGAATATGTATGAATTCCGGTTTTCTGTGTAAACCTCAAGCAAGTATATACAAATGGAAAAATTTGCGCGTGCACAACCTAACCTTTGTATTTGCGCCATTCAATTTTTACCACTCGCACGTTAGTAAAGGGGTAATTGGGGTAAAAAATGACCCCCCCCCCCACTTTCTTTACGGAAGTACACGTTTTGAAGCACCATCAGGAATCCGCATCAAGCAAAATCTCGATGATGTGATTAAGCATGCAGGTGCAATTAGTAGATAACGTGATTTTTACCAAAGCTAAGGAATAGAATAGGTACATTATATACATGAAAGGTCATAATTTCCAGTACAAATTTCACGTTCACGAACCTTAATTACAAACAATGCGTTGCTTTGTGCATAACGACATTAAAGGATAAGCTCGGAAATGCAAGATACGCCACTGTGTTAATCCATGTATTGTGTTACAGAACACAAAACTTCAATTACCGCCTTCATAAAATTAAAAAAGAAATACGTCAATATTTTTCATTCCATATCTCAACCGTGGGAAGCGTCATGGTTGCCATGCATTAAAAGAGAATATTTATTATTAATTCGCAAACTTCAAGAGGATATAAACATCCGTGGAAGTGCAGCAACACAATAAGGCGTGCTCATGACTTTCATAATTGATCGTAATTTAAATAGTAGAGTAGCATTAGGTCAAGTTCGGGTAAAAAATCTTGCACAAAAATCATAAAACGCACAACCCACACCGACTTGCGAATGATTTACAAAAAACGCAAATGAAGCAATTACACATTTCGTGTAACTCGAGTGACGTAAAGCTTATACACCTCAAGCAGGAGCTAACAAAAAACACTTTGTTAAGGTAAAAAATTTACACAGCACTTTACGCTGTTCCCACTTTATTTTTAAAAGTGCGCATGTGGCGCCTCTGGTTTGTTTATCGTAAATTATACGACAATTCTATTTTGGAACAATGTACTACGCGAGGGGGTGTCCGGTTGACATTTAAATCGAATAGTTTGGCAAAATCCTATAATTAGGTTAATGAGTGTTAATAAATCATTCTCTCGTATAACGGACATGCACAAAAATCATTTCTTTCAATATAATGAAGGAAGCAATTCGAAGCGGTCTTACGTCTTTGATGCTGGCGGATCACGTCATTATAATAGACTCGCCCAAACAAGCTTGCAAGATTTTCAACCAGCCAGTCGCCAGTCGGTTGTTGTGAGGGAAGTTTATTGCAGAATGAATCATAGTTTTATTTTGTCGAATTCCCGTTTAAATACACATTGTTACTGTGAAAAGTGCGAAAAACTGTTATTTAATAAAGGTGAATTGCTGGGAAAGTTTAATTTTGGAGGACTTTCTCATTTAGAGGCTTTGTTAAGGTAAGTGACATATTTTTGCTTGCGTCTTTAGCTTGTCTCATTACGAAACTCGCGATTCGACGATTTTGTTGTTAAGACGATGTTTTCTAACGAATTAAAAAAATATGTGAAAAGGAGAAACGCGGTTCAGTTGATAGCCGGAGCCAAAATTAGCTGTACTCATTTAAAGTGGGAGGTGAGATAATTATACTCGCGTTTATTCGAAAATGGACTTATTTTTGTTTAAATGTGAAATTTTAAGGCCAAATGTTGTTGGTGGTTTTGTTGTTTTAGCCGACGTTGCGGATACTTGACCTGGCAACCGTGTTATAAAACATTCCATTAAATGCGCGATTTAAATTTGCTGCCGATTTTCTCGTCGTTTTTTGGTGGAAAGTGATCTAGAAGCCATATGTTTTTAAAATGTTCGCGGAGGGTAATAAGGAAATATGCCATTACTTGTATCTTGTTTATCGTGCGAGGGCACACGAATTTAGATCGCAACGAGCGAGAGAGTGCGGTAAATTTGGCATCGGTGCTTGCGCGGTCGCGTCTTGTCCCCTTTTCGTCGCACTTCTATCGATCATCGTTTTGTCCAATGAAGAGCTCTCCGCTATGATCGCGGGAGCGGAGCTGCGCGCGACGTTGCCACACCTCGCGTGTGGTGAAAGCAGGCACGGCCGGCGTTATTGGGTTTGAGCAACATTGTTATGGGCCGGAGGGCAAGTCTGCGTTGCCACGTTTGGGGTCGGGTACGCTTAAGTGCAATTTCGGTGTCCTAGTTCATGAACGAAATGGTCTCGTATTTGTGTTCTCTTACAAACTGTTTGTGTTTAATGGAAGCGTTTGCAAATGATTTCGCGTATCACTTACCGGACACGTGATGAATCACACGAAAAGTTGCATAATTACTCCGGTATGTCGTTCAATAAGTTACCAGGTTGAACGCCCTATTGGCCCTCCGATAAAGAAAACCGTAGTAGGCCACTTTATTGTTTTGCGTCACAATGTCATCATTTTTACCGGCCCTTAATTTTCACATTCGAGAAGACTTTAAGGTCATTCGTGAAAGCCCCCGCATTAATTATGCAAGATCTAAGCGGAACTGAAGATCAATCAAAATTACCCTGCTATTATCAATCCGATTTTTTATTTATGTTTAAACAAAATCCGAAAAGCGGCAATGTCGCGTTTGCTGATATTCAGCTGGTTTTGTTTATTGCGTTGTTTTTAATTCAATTTTCAATGCTGTATGATGTAATGATCGACGTACCTCATGATAATTTCCATTGCTACCGGTTTATTTACTCCTGAAATACGATCACGTAGGCGTGTCGCTTTTCGATCAGCTGAATTTCAAAATGGCAGTTTTAAAATCAAGCCAACGCTCTTTTGTGGGTTTTTGTTGGGTAAATTCTATTAAAAGTATGTGCGCCCGTAGTAAACGCCCGATACGAAGTTTAATTAAATTTGTGAACAAATTTTCCGGCAGAAATAATTTAACCTACTACACGTGAGTTGAAGTTGGGAATGTCGCCTTGACGTTAACATGCCAAATTTGACCGGTTTGTCACAAAATTATTTATAGTTTTTTAGCTTGTTGTACAAGTGAACCGAGATTTATAAAATTATTATCAAACGAAATAGTACGGAATGATTCCTGGTAGCATAGTAGCTTTTGAAATATGATGGTCCAATTCCATCCGAAGTTTGCTTTGGAACCATTGCCTCAAAAGCAAATATGACTAGTCTCCAAAGCTTGTTATTTCTTGTGTTTGTTTCTCTGCTATGCTTGCTGCTGCTGTAGTTCCTGCTTTTTTGCTACTCTTTGTGGTGACAACATCCAAGCAGTTTCGAGCTGAAGGTAATCTCAGTGACCAGGGTGACACCTTTAGGCTTCTTTCCATCATCTGTATGAAGGCCTTCAGATTCCAGTGTGGATTGATGGTTAATGGAAGTTGGGCGCCTTGGATCTTAGTCAATACCTGCACCTAAACAGATACAAATGCAAAAGGCTGTTATCCTTATCCGAAATGTCAAGTAGTCTTGCTACTACGGTTCCATTGGTGGAGGGCATAGGAGATCGATCCAAATTTTGTTGGTAATTTGGAATAGCCAAATTGATTAGTTATTTTATTAAGCACATCCATTTCAAAACAAGCATGGAACCGATAATCGACCCTTGATTCCATTTTGAATAGCTATGCACAATCTTTGGAGCGAAAGTGATCGCGCTCTTCTTCATTTACCTCAATTAGTTTAGATCTAATTGTTTTATGAAGGTTTCAAAAACTCCAGTATTCCATTAGCTCTCAGTGGATTAGAATGAACTGGCAGACGAATGTTCTGAGCTTGAATATTTGGAATCATTTCTAAACGATCGATTGAAATCTATGAAGCTGTGGATTTTCCAAAAGGTGAGCTTTGGATGAAAAGAGAGTGAGCATTGATTGATTTCAGATAATTCTCCCGTGAACATCCGACGCTTTAAAGACAAAGGTTTTGTCTAGGGTTTTGTGTTCCAAGAAGTGGAAAGAATTGCCCGGATTCCAGGGGTGAAGCTTTTCACTATTGCCATGTCTATTTCCCACTCTGACCAGAAGAATTTTTTCTCCAGACTTTCTTCAGGCGTCAAGCATTATAGGATGGGCACCTAAGGAGAAAATATAAGATCCACAGGGATCTATTAGATTACAAAGTTTGGGGAGAGAGTAATACTTCTTATTTCTTCCCGAAATTTGTTTGTTTTCTATTACAAATAAAGACATTATGAACTAGATTCTATCACCGGCGTTTTCGCATTGCACATTATTTTTATGGGTTGCTTAGTCATTGTGAAAATGTCGATTGGGTTTTTCAAAATATCGTTGCAATATTGTAAAGGCGAAAAAAAGCCAAATGAAATTTTATTCGGCTCAAAGGACCAATGGCTTTGTTTTAATTTCACCAGGCCTCTTCGTTTACTTTAGACTGTACAGTGTGTGCTATTTTGATTGAGACTACAGTGTATAATAATAATAATAATAATAATAATAAGTGCCATTTATTAGACTTCTAAAATAAACATAAAGCAAACGGTAAAAAAAAAACTATATTGTAGCCAGAAGCCTAAGAGGGCGAAGTTCAGATGTTCAACATGAACATGTGATACATCTGCTCTACCACTTAACCCTTAATATCTTAGTAATAATACATTACATGGAGGTGGAATGAAAAATTAAATAAACAAAGACAGAAACTATTGATGACGATAAGAAGAACACTAAAATACAAGGAAAAGGAAGGAAATTGAGAAAAAATGGACGAAAGAAAGACAATGACTGCTGATTATACTGCCTAAGTAACAAAATACCTTGAAAATGGTTTTTAAATGTAGCGCTATTCATTTTTTTTTTAAATTCATTTGAGAGGTCGTGGTATACTTTGGCAATATTATAAGCATAATATCTTTCATACCTGCGTACCATTGTGAAATGGTGATGTCAATAATTTATAGAACCGCGGATTTCAACTAAATTTTAGAAGATCGTATCTCGGCTGTTTTTTAAGATAGACTCTGAGATACAGGGTGAAAACGAAAAATTTGACTTTTTAGAATCATATCATATCTTACTACCCACGTAAGATAGAAAAAATGTAAAAACTATATTTTAGATATTTTTATTAGCATCAGTGGCGTAGTAAATAAAATGTTGAACCACCGTTTCTGAGATTTGACCCAAAGTTGATATTTTTTAAATGCAACGCCCTGTATATTTTAACGTCAATTGTTTGCATTCTTTTTCCAGATTACATCGATATACCACAACCTATATTTTTTATCTAAGATATACCATATTTTTGTTGTGTTGAAAGGACATGTTTCCATTCCCGGCCATTTTTATTGATTGGTATCAGCTGCCTTAATTACCATAGATACAATTAATGTTGTAAAATTCACATAATTTATTTATCGCTGCGAGTATTTGGGAACTTTCAAGAATATTTGGAAATTTTCAATAATATTTATCGTATACAAAATGCGCTATACTATTCTGTACTAATTACAATATATTTTAATAAAGTTATGTTTTTTAAAAACAATAAAACGCATCTGAGTTTTCAATTGTTTACCTAACATATCTGCATAAAAAAGAATAGCTTTTCAGTCTCAGTATGCCAGAAAAAATATTCCACCTTCAAACCAAAACTAAGAAAATTCAGACAAAAACAAGAAAACTATTCTTTAAATAATATATAATAAATAAATAATAAATAATATAAAATTCCAAAATAAGAATGAAGATTCAAAAACGCAATAATATAAAACATGCACGAAAATGACGAATATTCGTTCTTTGCAATGCGAATATATCTGGAAATATTGTAAAATTCGCAACCTAGATACAATAAACAAAAAATCGATGGATGGGCTACTATTTAAAAATAAAAAAAATAGTTTTCATGGCTGAAATTAAAAAAAATGTATAGGTTGTGATAGGAACAAAGAAGAAAACATAATTGACGTTAAGTATACATAATACAGGGTCTCAAAAACAAACTTCATTTTGACGCTATATCTCAGAATTCTATTTGTGGTATTATTAAAAGGGGCAAATGGTCGCGAAAACCGCAAGTTTCTATCTTTAAAAACTACTGAGATACACTGCAGTCTCGACCAAAATAGGATACTTAGTACAGGGTGGTTCAAATTCGTGGCCATCTCCTATTTTTTTACTCAAAAACGCATAGAGACTAGAGTCCTTGGGACGATTCACTTTTCCTCTGTTTTACACATAACTGAAGCTTGTGAAGCAAAATTGAAAAACCATAGTGTAAGTTTAGTCTTAGAAAAACTGGCGTGAGTTTCTCAGTGGACTGTCCATACCCAGTATTAGCCTCGAAATTGTATTATGGCAAACAGTGGATATTAGGCCAATTGATTTGAGATCCCTTTAAAAAAAAAATTCAAAAATATTCACTAAAAACCAATAAAGAGCGGTTATTTTCAAAATGCACCAATAATTATATTCTACTAGCAGACTCTGAGAACTGTACCGTCTATCAGTTCTCCAATCAATTAATGTCACGCTTCCAGATGGAACATAAGCTCGGTTTCGCGCCGCCTCACCTCTCCCATTTTACTACATCAGGAACCTTCGCGGGCATACGTAATTGACCCCGTCTATTTTTTCGCCTCACGCCTGAAATCGACGGTATGGATCCTTCTAGAGCTGTAGTAGATCACGCTTTGGCGCCATCTATTAGTTACATTTGCGATTTAAACTGGCGGAAAAGAGAAAAATTGTTTTCTATGTCTTTCCGTACAATTTTTTGGAAATTGTCTTTTATCAACCCAAAAAAAAAAGAATTATCGGCGATTTCATTTTTATTTATGCAGATTAATAATTCTTGTTATCTTTGTTTTAGCCGCCTCGATGTGATTTGAAATGAAACGTTTGCGTGTGGATGAAACGGCAAAAGATGCAAGTGGACCACCAATAAGTAATATCTATCGTCAGGGAATACCAAACACCACCCCCACGATTGCATATACAAGCTCTGGTACCGTGAAGGTTTTAGGAGAGGTTATGCAGTCTAGTTTATATCCACCGACACCGCCTGTGAATTACGGAGCGATGCCTGCTGCCGCCGCTCCTCATTCGGGCAAACCCCAAGCCATGCAGCCCCTATCCGTCAGTTCCCATTCGCAGATACGAACTAAAGGTGCGTCGCCGCCGTCCGCACAATTACAAGGGCCGCAACCGCAGCAATCCCCAGGAAGCAGCAACTTCCAACGTCTGAAAGTAGAAGATGCACTGTCGTACTTGGATCTGGTAAAGTTTAAATTTGGTTCTCAACCTCAAGTGTATAATGACTTCTTGGACATTATGAAGGAATTTAAAAGTCAGTCGATCGACACGCCCGGCGTCATTCAAAGGGTATCGAACCTATTTCGCGGATTCCCAGATTTAATCGTCGGCTTTAACACGTTTCTTCCGCCCGGGTATAAAATCGAAGTGCAACGAAATGAACAAGGCTACGCCTTTCAAGTTTCCGTGAGCATGCCAAGTCCGACGGGAACTATGGCCATCGATCCGCAACAGCAGCAGAAGCCCGCAACCATACTAAGCGGGTCGGGAACAATCATTCATAGCAATATGGTAACTCAAGTGCCGCCTACGGGTTTAACTACGTCTCACTCTCTACCCTTGCCAACGCACGTAGCGTCCGTAACTCCCCAAGCGCCGCCTCCTGGACCTGTACTTCATCATCTGTCGGGATACGGCGCAGCGACTCCCATGCACAATAATACAGCGCATAACGCTCTTACTTTCTCTGCAGCTCAAGCGGCGGTTAATCAGGCTCTTCAAGGGCACGGTGAGACCCCCCAAAATCAACCCGTCGAGTTTAATCATGCCATTAATTATGTGAATAAGATTAAGGTAAGTTTTCATCATTTTAAATCATATGCTATTTGTTTATTAAGCATTTAGGGTAAACAGGTTCATTCAAATATCCTTCCAATGAATCCTGTACAGTCATTGACAAAAGTAATGATCACCGAATAGGTCCTGTTGCATATGCAACCAACATTTGAATATCTTTGTACCACTTGAAAATGGGAACCAACAAATTAAAGTATCTCATCTTTGAATAAACCAATGGGGCCATATGTGATAAGCATGTTTGTTGCTTATCCTGCAGAGTTTACCTATTAGCCGATCATTACTTTTGTCAATGTACGTACGTACATACGTACAGTGAGTGACTAAAATATTGAACATTTTTTTAAAACCAACACCTGAATTTTAAATGAATTTGTTCCATTCTTAGGATATAAAAGGAACCACAAATTTGTTCCATATTTTAGCAGCTCACTGTATGTATTAGTCAGGATTCAAATGTCCATTTTAATCTTCTGTCACTTCCACCTATCAAATCGAATTGTAGTTTTTTGTTGCAATTTACAGTAATTTTAAATGTGTTCAAGATACAAAACATAATTTCCTACCAGAAATTTTACAATTGACAGTAGAAATCCATTTGTTGAATGTTCCATGAAGGTTTTCATGATACACTCTCTAGTACTCGATCAATACACAGGGTGACCCGATCGTCTGTACTCAGTTGATTGTTGATATTATAAAAAACGTCTTACGTGATGTACAGGGTGGGCCAAATAAGAATGCGAGGTGCTGTATCTGGGAACCTGTCCATCGTAGAGGCTTGCGGTAAACAAATTTATTACTAAAACGGCCACGAGAAAAACCTGGAAAATATTTTTAAGTTTCTGCAATGGCCGCTAGGGGGCGTAACTGCAATCTGGAATCTAAACAAGTGATTTCCCTGTGAATTCCGCCATATTAACCTAAGAAAAACATGTCCGGTCTTTGAAGTTGACTATAATTTGAACCTTTTTTGTTTGACAATTTTTTCTGTATCTCTAAAAATGAAGTGGTGGGGGGGTATTCAAAGGTTTCCGTAAAGAACACCCTGTATCTTCGAAACGACTGAGCCGATTTTAACAAACTCGGGTTAATTGAAAAGAGTTATTCTTCGGCTACAAATATTATAATATTTGAATATTATAATATTTGAAGTTTTGTTAGTTTTACATATCGCCGCATGAGGGCTTTTTTCGACATTCCGACAGAAATGGTTAATTTTCTCAAAAAAATTAAATGCGTTGGTTTGATTTTTTTTTCATGAAAAAGTAGCTAAATGGTGCCTAAACAAGCTCGTGAAAATCCCATCTCGATATCTTGTTCCTAACCTAAAATTTAGGCCAAAGAAAATTGTATACCCTCAAAATTTTATTTTTTTTTAAGCTAATTTTTCTGGAATTATTTTTATTATATAATTTGTGGCCCTAAGGTGGATCGATTTAAAAAAGGAAGCTTTTAATGCCGCCGTAAATGCTCGAAATGCTGGCCATCACGATATAAAAATATGTATATGTTACCGGCAAATTGCGAAATCCGGCATTTCGCAAAATCCCTAGGCATTTTGGGAAATGACCAATGCAGCAGGGAAAGTGATAAATGGAACTCGAGTTCGCACTTCTCCTGCCTCTCTTTAGGGATTTCGCAAAATGCCTAAACGTTCAGGCAAAGTGAGAATGCTCGGATATTTTCCACAGATTGCGCGTACAGCGGTGCCAAACGTAAAACCGTCGCGTCAGTACCTTCCCCCATATGATATATTCTCCACAGTAAATCCAAAGGTTGACTCAACAGAAAACTGATAGATGAATGCAGTTTAAACGTGCGCGCAATATTTGGCGAGTACTTAAATAACATCGCAATCGTACGCGTCGTTTACCATCCAATGGCAACGCTGTATCCCCAATCTGTGGGAAATGCGAAGCCTTCGCACTTTGCCTGCATCTTTAGGCATTTCGCGAAATCCCTAAAGAGAGGCAGGCAAAGTGCGAACTGCAACTCCGTTTCTCACTTTGACTGTTGCATTCGTCATTTCGCGAAATGCCTAGGCATTTTGCAAAATACTGGATTTCGCAATTTGCCGGTAACATATATATATATCTCAAGATATCGAGATGCTGTTTTCGCGAACTTGTTTAGGCATCATTTAGCTACCTTTTTATGAAAAAAAATCGAACCAATGCATTTAATTTTTTTGAGAAAATTAACCATTTCTGTCGGAATGTCGAAAAAAGCCCTCAAGCGGTAATATGTAGAACTAAAAAAACTTCAAATAGTATAATATTTGTAGCTGAAGAATAGCTCTTTTGAACTAACCCGAGTTTGTTTAAATCGGATCAGCCGTTTCGAAGATACAGGGTGTTCTTTACGGAAACCTTTGAATACCCCCCACCACTTAATTTTTAGAGATACAGGAAAAATTGTCAAGCAAAAATTGTTCAGATTATCGTCAACTTCAAAGACCGGAAATTTTTTTGTTAGGTTAATATAGCGGAATTCACAAAACATCACTTTTTTTTATTCCAGATTGCAGTTACGCCCCCTAGCGGCCATTTCAGAAACTTAAAAATATTTTCCAGGTTTTGCATTCTCAGTTGGCCACCCTGTACATACATGGCACCGATTTAAAAATCATCAATTGTTATTAGGATAAACAAATCCTGTTTATCACATAATTTTAATGGCAAAGGTTGATTGTGTCAATAACTAAAACCTCGACTATGCAACTATTCTGCTTTGAAAAATTAATGGACAGCTTTTACCTGTACTGCATAGGGTTGAGATTATTAGGGTATTATATGATACATCATTTGAAGACTTACTCAGTGTTTGCTAATCAGACTTAATTTTAATTTTCCATCAGTTCATTTTAATAAAAAATTGCAATAATCGGTTTCAAACTAATATAGACAACGAACGACAAACACAGACGGACGGACAGAAAGTCCAAATACTCAAATATTAATCATAAAAAAATATGAAACTGTTCGCGAGGTATCATGTACCGGGTCGCCAAATAAGAATGACCGTCAACTATATTTCGGAAACTAGTAAGCCCGAACTTTCGGGCAAAAAATATTTAAACCCAAAGCAATTTCCGTGTTTCTCAACGAACTAGTGGGGTATGTCGTTAAGTATCCAAGGAAATTAACAATATTAGTCCCATTTTTAACAACTTAACTTTAACCTTCAGAGTAACTTCTAAGTACAAATTTTGAAAAACCTACTTATTTCACTTTCCCAGAAACGTTTAACTAAGGCTCCGAAATAACACTCTGTATGTATAACAAAATACGTCTGCTATTATTATGAGAACAAAATGCCTTTTTAAAATATTTATTATTTGATATATGGCATGTTTGGTCTAGGCAGTTTTTGAATTCGCGATTAGTGCAAACGTTCACTTTTCAATGTTATTTCTTATCAGATATAAATATGTTGATCTAAATAAATGTGATATTTCCTACCATCATCCTTGCCATTGTCTATAAACTTTACTTAAAGATTTTGCATGTGTTTCATATTTACACTGATAATGATAAAAGTTGTGACATTTTTATAAGTTAGTAAATGATTGTTGTTATCGTTCTTGGTGATATTATTAGAGCCTTGAGAAATCAAGTATGTTTTTTTAATGATTCTCACTCATTCTTTCTTACTTAATTATTTTTTAAGGAAACCGATTTTTCTTGATAAATATTTTTCTTCTTTTGATTGATTTGAACAAATATAATACTGACGCTGGACCATAATTGTTAATTGTAATGGAACAGACTTTGAAATTATAGTTATGTGTTCATTTATGTAATGTAAATTTATTTACGTGATTTGTGTATATAAAATTGTTAACTGTTAACGAGAAACTAAATTAAAATGGATTGATATAACACGAACATGGATTTCACTATTTATCATTTCGGTATCGACGTTAAGACTAAGACTAGATACAATTCAATTTGTGCATATTGCAAATAATAACAAAAATCTAGAAAGCATATCGTATTTTGCAGAAAGAATTATTCTCATATTCCTTATTGACGGTGACGAGGACGGTAACTAATCTTTTATCGACTTGATAGCATCTCGAGAATGTTCCAGAAGGATACAGTATAACCAAAATTTCTACGTTCATTACTAATGCATAAAGAATACCAGGAAGGAGAATATCAACAATATACGTGCGACCGCGATGGCTTTTGCAAATGGCGGACAGTAGTTTCCTCTCGAGTTTCCTGTTCCAGTGGCGTACCTACCTTACAGTTGTAGAAGGATACCCCATGTGTCTACTCCGCCTATGACTTTTGTTTAACTAACCTCAAACTACATTCCGCTAAAAAAATTGTAAATTTACATGTACTATATAAAAATAATATTGGTATCAATACTTACACATGAAATGTAGTTCCCAAACTTTTATTTTGTTCCGTTTTGGGGCAATCACAAGCACAACAACTAACCATTATTTTAGGTCGCTGCAAAAATCACAACTAAAATGAGTCATAAGTGGCTTTTGCAAATGGCCGACTTCCGTCGCACTCTCTCTTGTATACAACCTGAGTAATGTTCCTTCTTGGTATTCTTTATTCATTGGTTCATTATAATTTTTAGGTTAAGCCACAAACACGTTTTTGCTAATGATTGTTATCAATTGTAATTTTTTAGGGAAAAATAATTAAATTAAGTTCGTTTTGTAATTGTCCAAAAGTAGACCAGGGGCATGTTTCATAAAGTATGACAATAACAAATAAAATCATTCAAAAGACGCAATCAAATGTGAAAAGCTTTTATATCACTATCACAAAATGTGTGTTCTTTAATTTAACTTTTATCATTTTCTAAACGTCAATAACAATATGGGGAACTTGGTTTTCCATTGGACGAGAACTGTATACGCACATAATTAATTAAGCTACTAATTTACCTCGTAATCCGTACCTCGCACTCCTATAAACAAATGGCTCTTGGTTTATAAAGAACTACTAAATTGTTGGGAATCCTGTTTATTTGTTTGATAAGTGATAATAAGGTATATTCATTTTTGTTTATCTCATCCTTGATAGCTTAATGTCATACTATCATTTTCGTTTGTTTCATCTGTACAACAATTTATTTTATAATAGATTGAAAGTTTCTCAGTTGTACTGAACGTTCATACAAACATTCATTCAAATTAACATTTTTCAATTTTTTTTATTACAGAATCGTTTCCAGGGACAGCCGGAAAAATACAAACGTTTTCTGGAAATTTTACACACCTATCAGAAAGAGCAACGCACACTAAAGGAAACGGCAGCCGGTGGCGGTCCGGGAAAACACCTCACCGAGCAGGAGGTCTACAGTCAAGTTGCAAAATTGTTCGAAAATCAAAGCGACCTCTTAGCCGAATTTGGTCAATTTTTGCCAGACGCCACAAATCACACATCGCCGCCGCCGCTATCCGATCACGTGTCGAGTATCAATAAGAAACAGCCAACGAAGCAGCCATTTCGTGATCATTTATTAGAACGTCACATTTCGCACAAGCCCAGCCATATTTCGAGTCAAATCAAACGATCGCCCCCGTATCCCAGTCTTATTCATAGGGATGCGCCGCCACCTAAGAAGCACAAGATGTCTTCATCTTGCCGGGATATTACGTTTACGGAAGCGTCCAAGCACGGAACGCTTAACGATTTCGCCTTTTTTGATAAAGTAAGGAAGGCCCTTCGCATGCCGGATGTTTATAATAATTTTCTAAGATGTTTGACGTTATTTAATCAAGAGATTGTCTCGAAAAGTGAATTGATTCTGCTTGTCACGCCGTTTTTGGGAAAATTTCCCGAACTGTTAAGGTGGCTACGCGATTTTCTGGGACAGAGCGAGAATGAACCAGTGCCATATAATGTAACTAGGGTCGAGAGGCCGCAAGGAGATCACGCGTTAGATATCGATCTTGCTACTGCGAAACGTCTGGGCGCCAGCTACTGTATCATTCCTCCTTCACAGGTAGTACCATTGCTATATACAGTGTGTTGCAACTAAAGCCGACACTTATGATTTCTTCTTAGGGTTATAATATTCAAATCAACAAAAACAAGCATTGGGTTATAGATTCAATAAAATAAAAATGTTTAAAGGGAGCACCCTGTATCATTTTTTCATGTTTTGAAAGCTAAAGCCAAAAAATCGTTTTAACACGTTCTTTCAATTAATTATACTGTATTCATTTTAAGATGGTAGCGGTAGAAATCATAGGGAAGCTTTGACCTTCACTGTGATTGGTTAAAACATGAGTCAGTATTACAATGAAACATAAAACGACTGGTGAATTTTGTAAGGTGGTAGGTTGCCAATTAAACTACCGAAATGTCATTAGCTGTTATTGTCAAAGGCAGGGGCGGACTGACCCGGCGGTTGTCACCTGGCCTGTAGATCATAATGGCCCGTTGGTAATTTATAAGTATGTGCTGTATTTAGTTTCTTGCACTATTAATAAATTATTAACACGTTTCTCTAATTGGGGTTGATGTTAGGTTGATAAAAAAATCTGTTTTATTTGAAGTGTTTTACAATCAATTTATCATTTTTTGTCGTAGCATGAAAGTGCTGAAATACAATGATAGGCGACGCACCTCGTGTGGATTGTATATTTTGTTACTTTTAATTATCAGCTGCAATTTAAAAAAAAACTATGGTAATTTTCTATAAGAAAATTTTTTCCGGGTCGATCTGAGACCATTTTTTCTTCGGGGCTCAAAAAAAGGCAGTGTATAACCTTCCTTTTTTACCAAAAATCGACTACACCAAAATTTCTCGGGAAAACACTTTTTCTTTTTAATTTGGGTGCGTAGAATCCAAATCAATTCGTACTTTTTCGATCAGACTTCTCAATCAAAAGTTATAGACCAGAAACCAATTTCGAAAAAAAATTCAAAGGGCTGTAACTTTTGAACTAGTAGCCCAATCTTGGAACTGTTTGAAATTATGGGTTCTACAGGCCACATTCTATAAGAAAATTTTTTTCCGGGTCGATCTGAGACAATTTTTTCTTCGGGGCTCAAAAAAAGGCAGTGTATTACCTTCCTTTTTTACCAAAAATCGACTACACCAAAATTTCTCGGGAAAACACTTTTTCTTATTAATTTTGGTGCGTAGAATCCAAAACGAATCGTACTTTTTCGATCAGACTTCTCAATCAAAAGTTATAGACTAGAAACCAATTTCGAAAGAAAATTCAAAGGGCTGTAACTTTTAAACTAGTAGCCCAATCTTGGAACTGTTTGAAATTATGGATTCTACAGGCCACATTCTATAAGAAAATTTTTTTTCCGGGTCGATCTGAGACAATTTTTTTTCGGGGCTGAAAATTATTAACACGTTTCTCTAATTGGGGTTGATGTTAGGTTGTTAAAAAATTCTTTTTTAATTGAAGTGTTTTACAATGAATTAATCATTTTTTGTCGTAGCATGAAAGTGCTGAAATACAATGATAGGCGACGCACTTTGTGTGGATTGTATATTTTGTTACTTTTAATTATCAGCTGCAATTAAAAAAAAAACTATGGTAATTGATGTTCGAGAAAGGAGTACTGTTTTTGCGGTGCACCTCAGAGCTAAACCCCCCCCCCCCCAACTTCATTACTACACTAATACTTTAATGGCCCGTAACCTATGCAATTCCACCTGGCTCTTAAGTACCCAGTCCGCCCCTGGTCAAAGGTTTATTTCTGTTCGCAGTGCTGAATATTTCTACTTTACAATAATTTGGTGCCGTTTTATATTTTTCCGGTGTGTGTTTATCTTCAAACACAGCGCCATCTACTACCTTCTTATAATGAATGCAGTATAGTACAGGAAAGCTTACTAAAACTGAAAACAATTCTCTCTGTACAATTTATTGCATTTTTTTGGTGTAACCATTTTAATTTCACTGACCAATAATAAGAAAGTTGTCAATAGTGCCGGATTTGGTTGGAATCACGAATTTATAAATTAAGATGAACTGCTAATGCTGAATTGACAAATGACATCTACATGGGCAGCCATGATGTACACTCACTTGGCGCGAAATTCAAATCAACTAATAAACAAGCATTAACCTCACGTTTTCTAAATAAATACTGTGACACATGTCATTTTCCAAGGCACTAGGAAAATTCCCCTAGAAAATAACTAAAACGTGCACATCATGGTTCGCGCCCTTGCTAGGGCCATTTCTAGCTCTATGCAACTGTTTGATCAGCAGTCCATCCATTTTATAAGTTCGTGGTTGGAATTTACTAATCGAAAAAATTTCCTCAGGAACCTCAGAAGTGTTCGGGTCGAACCCAGCTTTGTAAAGAAGTATTAAATGACCAGTGGGTTTCCTTTCCGACCTGGTCGGAGGATAGTACGTTTGTTAGCTCGCGGAAAACGCAGTACGAAGAGTACATGTACAGATGCGAAGATGAACGGTTCGAGTTAGACGTTGTGATTGAGACCAACGCTTCCACCATTAGGGTGCTCGAGGGGGTGCAGAAGAAATTGAGCCGTTTAAGTCCCGACGAGATATCGAGATTTCGTCTGGACGACTGTTTAGGTGGCAACTCTCCGATTTTACATCAGAGAGCGCTCAAACGTATTTATGGAGATAAGGCACAAGATATTATCGACGGGTTGAAACGGAACCCCGCGATTGCGGTCCCTGTCGTTTTGAGGAGGTTGAAGGCGAAAGAAGAGGAGTGGCGAGAGGCCCAGAAAGGCTTTAATAAAATATGGAAGGAACAAAATGAAAAGTATTACTTAAAAAGCTTAGATCATCAAGGAATTAACTTCAAGCAAAACGATGTGAAGGCGTTACGGTCGAAAAGTTTGTTTAACGAAATTGAAACGCTTTTTGACGAGGTTTGTATGTCTACTTGCCGATAGGACTTGTAATTTTTTTATTGTAGAGGCACGAGCAGAATGAAGAGGGTACCTGTGAGCCAATAGTCGGACCACACCTGGTAATTCCCTACAGAGATCGTACTATTCTGGATGACGCCGCTAATTTACTTATACATCATGTCAAAAGACAGACGGGAATACAAAAAGGGGAAAAGCGAAGGATTAAACATATTTTAAGGCAGTTTGTCCCCGACTTATTTTTTCATCCACGGCAGCAACTTAGCGATGATGAGCGGGAGGATGACGGTAAGTGTTAACAACTAAATTATTTCTCATTCTCATTAGAGAGTGTTTAGATGAGAAAGAAGACGTGGGGAACGAGAGTCCCAATAGCAATTCAAGTTCGGCGGATGTGAAACCAAAGTTGGATGGAGCAAGTCCTGGAAAATCGCCCGCGCGAGCGCATTCCGATGGGGAAGCTTCAGACAAATGCTTTCTCGATGCGGATGTTAAAGAAGAAGATGTCAAAGTTCCTTTACATGCTCAGACCTCTGATCTGGTAGGTACATGTTTGTATTAATAGCTGACTGGCATCTCTGATCTAATCAAATCTGTGCTATCGTAGATTTGAATAAGTATTGATGCAAGAGTGTTATGCATCGACGTTCATTGTGAATTTTCGGTAAATTCACAATCAAAATGCTGCAAACATTTACACACTGCCTTTATTTGTCACGTAACGTCAAGTAAGCTTGTCTTTTTGTGTCTTATGATCATCCACTCCACTTAAATTTTAATTAAAGAAAGAGGAAAAGCAAACAATTGTAAAATCAATTGGGACTGAGGTGAAGGATTGTGCTTGCTGCGTTTAAGTCAATGTAGCAATAGTAAATAGTCAAGTCACGCCCTAGACCAGTGAAGGCCACAAGGTGAATTTTCAATGAGGTAGCAGGCGATAATAACATTTGCAATTCACTACATTTATAACTTAATAGTATCTATTTTTTATTTAAATAAAAACAAAACATTCTATTATAAGGAAAATAAACTCAACAACTCCATTAAAACATAAATATTTTGTTTAATTAATTAATTTTGATTAATGAGACATGTGTAGCTGCTCTAACTCCTTCACCAGTTGATCAATGTTGATGTCGAAATTTTGAGTACTGCACGTAGACGATTCGTAAGGAATTTTTACTTAAATTCATTATTGAAAAAGCTTGTTTGCATATACAGGGAGATTCAGGTAGCCCATTCATACATTGCAGTTGACATAGAAACTTGAAATTTAGTTTACAGTCATAATCGACCATTGCGAATTCAAATAAATTAATTTCAAGATGGCGTCGCTCCCGTAAATAACGGAAGTTGGCGCCATATTGGTTTTTTAGAATAGAAACATTTTCTATTTTTTTTCTAAATGCGCCCTTTTACTTTTAATTCAACGGACTTAAGATTTGCTTGCCTATCTGTTATAGTTTATGACATATGTCACTAATACATATAAATAAAACAAATAATAAAATTGTCTAAAAATTTGGAGATGCATGCGTCTATTCAAAAATTCGTATCCTTTAAACCATTCAAGATTAGTGAGTGATATTTTTTATAATCAAATCCTTAAAGTCTAAGGAGTGAGCATTGAAAGTTTTGAAAAAGTTTTCCAGGATTGCTGCGATTTTTCAAATAGCAGCTAAAATGTTTGATGCCAGAAATGAATGTAGATTTGAATTTTAAGACCCGTTATTAACATTGTGTACGCCTATATCCGGTAGGGTTTGATATTTTGGTAGTAGTATTGGTATTTTTTGAAAGATTTGACATTTTTGTATTTTCATTAGGTGTGGTAGGCTTTGGAAGCAATCATTCCATTTGAAATGTCATTTGAATCAAATGTCAAATGACGAAAGGAAATTTTCTTAGATTAAAAAAGAATATGTTTAATCATGGGAAGGTGGTTAGACTTGTGTGAACTAAACCCATAACAGGAGAAGTATAAATTAACGCTCTAGGATATTTTTGTCCAAGTGCTGCCTTCACAACAGCATCTGCTGATTTGGGAATTTCCTACTCCTCGCTACAAAGAATTTTTTGTCATCCTAAGTTGCATGCCTGCCTATAAATTATAAGACTACAAAGGCTATATATCCCTGAGATTACGATCGTAATTTTTTACAAAAAAAAAACTTCAATGATGGTTTCTTTATGATTTTTAATTTCCATATTTCCGTAGGGATAGTTTGAGGTAGAAATTTTTTATTTGGTTTCGTATGAAGGACGATTTTGTTACGTTACTGCTGTAGGTTTTACAATGCTAGCGGCACATAAATGCCCGTGTGGCGCAGTTCAACTAAAGGTGGATCGTGGTGGTAAGGGTCGGGCATGGCTATTTGTAAATGTATAGTGGGTTGGGTTGGGTTGGTAGAAGAGCAGCCTTGGCTGAAACTTCGCCCACTCAAAAATAAAGGCAAATAAATAAAAAAAATACAGCTGTTCCTGTATTTATGGTAGAGCCGTTTTCGAGACCCTGTTCAACTTTTTGTGAAATACAGGGTGAAAACGAAAAGTTTGAGTTTTTGGAGTGTTATTGTATCTTACTATTCATGTAAGGTAGAAAAAAGGTTAGAACTGCCCATTCTAGATATTTTTACGTAGAGTGGTGTAGTAAAAATTTTTTAGACCAGTTTTGGAGATTTAGTCCAAAGTTGGAATTTTTAAAATGCAACACCCTGTATCTTACCGTACATTTTTGTGCATCCTTTTTCCTGATGACAGTGTGGTATCACAACGTATATTTTTTAAATTTTAGTGCTGAACCAAAAATTAAAACTTTCTTTCTTACGGTTTTTAAATAGTAGGCCATGGATTCACTGAGATTTTGTTTTTTAAATTGTATTCATGATAGCCGATACCAACCAATAAAAATGGGTCATTTCAAAATTTTGAACAAAATGATATAATATAATATACTGGCTGATTCAAATTCGAGGGCCACCATGGGGATCTCGGAAACTGTAACTGACAAAGCTGCGTATTTTGATGCTTAACAAAATACCATTTTGGAACTGGAAAAATTCCGACTACTTTGGGAGATATTCGGAAAAAAACGAAATTTTGAAAAATCGTTTTTATTTTTTACTGAAGTTATTTAAAAAGATATTTCAAAATAAATGACACATTATTATGGCCATCTTTTTCCATCTACAAGTTTTAAATCGTAGGTCTGACGTTTCGTCTTCTGTTCACCCTCATTTTTACTTTTTGATAGAGCATTTTTTTCTGATTTTAAAATATAAGCATGGCACCTTGGCTCCAAGTCTGACCGTCTGGAAGCGGCCAATTTTTAAACACGCGCGCGCACCTCCACGGCGACGCTCCCCAGCCACTTAACAAATTATCCCCCCCCCCCCCCCCCCCCATTCCTATTCTTTGATAATTATTTTGACTTCACCAGTAGATATTAGAATATATAAAACCAAATTTGTATGATTATCTCTTACACTTGTTTATTTTTTCTTTGTTACATTTTAATGGAAATATTGTTTTTTTTTTCAGGATGAAGCATACGCATTGTTTATGTCCAACAACAATTGGTACATATTTTTAAGGCTTCACGCCATTTTATGCGAGCGTCTGGCGAAAATGTACGACCGTGCACTTATTTTGGCGAGTGACGAATTAAAAGAGAGGATAAGTCGAAAAGAAAGTACCGCCGTCGCGCTAAGGCTAAAACCAAAACCACAAATAGAAGTAGAAGATTATTATCCGGCTTTCTTAGATATGGTGAAAAACTTACTAGACGGAAATATGGATTCCAACGCTTACGAAGATACGCTACGGGAAATGTTTGGTATTCATGCGTATATCGCATTCACTTTTGACAAAGTCGTGCAGTACGCCGTACGGCAGCTGCAACATTGTGTCACTGAGCGTACGGCGATCGCTTGTATGGAACTATTTCAGAAGGAGCAGAAGCGTGGAGGAGCGGGTGGGCTGTGTGCAACTGCTCATCGGAGGAGTCATTGCGAATTGTCGTACCAGCGGCAAGCGGAAACCGCCGTACAGGATGAAAATTGTTTCAAAATATTTATCTACAAGCGAGATTGCAAAATGACCATAGAATTGCTAGATACAGAACCCGAAGATCCCAAGAAGGCGGATGATGCGAAAAAGTGGAGTTCGTATAAGGACCGGTACGTGAACTGTTCAAACATAGACAGCAAAATGCCTCGGTCGCCAGTCTATTTAAATCGAAACCTCCGCATCCGATTGCGATTTGATTCCTGCAATGATCTGGTTAACGACGAGGAGAAGCAAGATTCAAGCAAGAGGTTGGAACAGAACGGTCCCGAGGAACCTTCGAGTAGTGGGAGTAGCGAATTGATTTCTAAGGAGATTTGTCCGTTGGAAGAATTGGAGAAGAAACTGAATGAGAGATCGCCACCTGAAAGGAATCAAAGCAAACATTCGGGTTATGATGTTTCTGATGAGACGCAGTGTAAATTTAATTCGGGGGATTCTAAGATGATGTTCACTGTGAATAAGGATAGTTATTTGTATAAACATTGTGCCTTTAAAAAAGCCAGGAAGGTAAGATCTCCGACATGGATTTTTCCAACCTTATTAATTGAGATACTGTTTGCCATATACTTAAGTCAGATAGGGATTTTTACAACTATCAACTACCAGTCTATCCTCTCTTTCGTTTTTGGTACCCAATTCAAACTAGACTTTGTGAATGCTTCCTTCCCCTACACAGTCCACTCCCATTCAGTTTTGTCCTTTGATCCTCTTGTCCATGGTCAATGGTAAGCATATAAACTTGAATAAATATGGCCTTTTGGACAGATTGGACTATTTCTTCTCCCAGATCTCTATTCGTTCCACTGAAGTAAAATTTGACATCTTCACAAATCACTTCTCCCTGCCTTTCCCATCCAACTTCACTTATACTTTGAGAAATTTATATCAAAATTCAATACCACCAATGTGGGGAATCAAGGGAAATTTGTAAAACTCCTCCTACCAGCCATTTTGTTTGCCTCAGTTGAATAAGTAATGCAAACAGTTTTTTTTTGTCATGTTCCCATAGCGTAACTGATGTTTATTTATGTTACAGTCACATCCGTCGGTAACAAAGCGTCTTGGACTCCGTTTTCGCTCATGGCTGAAGCGCTGGACATCGGCCAATGTTAGTGACACGCAATATAAACAGTGCACCGACTGGCTGATGGGTCGCGCGGAAGGTGTTGTGCCTAATCGAACACGAGTTGTAAGTAATAATGATCTGACACGCTCTCCATATTCTCCATATAATCGCTACCGCGTCGAGAGGCTCTGCGAGGAGTCCTCATAAAACTTCCTAAAGTGCAAAAGAACTTTTTATTCGCGTTAATATTTATTGAAACTTAAATTCTTCGGTCGATCTCTGGGTACCCGTTGTAATCTCATTAATTTATCATTTGTTTATAAAACTTACGACTTTAAGTTGCTGTTTAGTAATAGTTGTGAAGGTTTGTGTTGTTTCTATTTTGTACAATGAGGCTATCGCCAGGTGCTTTAACTTACTTTTAGTGCATAAAATAACACAGTGATACAATTTATTTTTTAAGTTGCAAACCAAATTTGTTCTACGAAGCGTTTCAATTTTTGATGTAAAATCATAGTACGTTTGTAAGAAGAAACAATTGTCGAGTTAACAATTTAATGAAGAAACAAAGGGCTGTATTGGAGATAACTGCACGGTGTTTTTCCTATTATTGTTTAACATGTAATATATCGTAGTCTCAGTTTTATCTGCAATTTACACACACTGTTTAACAATAAATGATTGAATTTTGTTCTATTCAGATTGTGGGACATTGTGTGTTATTTTTATTATAGATTCAATATTCTTATACTTATAAGCTACATGTAACAAAATTTGTTTTTGTTTACAGGTCAATACAAAAAAAAAAAACGTGTGACCGTCGTTAAATTGTTAATTGCTGCTGATTTTATGTCACAAAATTGTATTTGTAAACACGAAAATACCTTTGTTGATCTTTGTTTTTCTTTTTCTATTATTTTATAGTATAGTATAGTTTTTGTGTTTTTTGTTTTTCTTTACGTTGTTTTGTTAGCAACAAAAGAAACGTGACGACTGTTTGTTTTAAAAAACTATTTTTGTTCTAATCGAAATGTTGGCATATCACTTTGTTTGCTAGTGTAGCTCTCGAGTATATATGTATTTGTTGTAATTTATTTGACGGTTGCGGTAGTTGTTCCCATTTCTGTTCTAAAAGGTCTACTGCCTATCCTGTGTCTTTTATTTCTATACTTGTGAAACAGCGCAATATTTTAACTCAGGCATCTGTGCAAAAATACAAAAGTACAAAGTATATTTTTGACGTTGAAAAAATATATTGTATTTGCGAGATATGTCAGCATTTATGTGAAATGTACATAATCATTTTTCGTGTAAAATTATTCTAGAAAAGTGACATTCCATTTTATATATTATGACATTTTGTGTGTAGATATCTGTATATACATACATACTATTATGGTTTCACATTTTGTCCACTATTAATATGTAAAAAATGAAGTGAGAGCATCTGTATAAATGAAATGTGGACAATGGATCGTGTACAGATTTATACTTACCATTTTAATGATAGAAATTTAAATTTGTAAATAGTACCATTTATAAGAAAAGAAATTCTTATTGAACAAATAGTGTTGTTTATCTTGTTTTCACCTTTACCACTAGATTTTGACATTGTGAAATTTCACTATTCCTCTGTCGGTGTGTATTGCTTTATCTTTGATTGCTTATAGTACCAACCAAAAGGCAATAAGCAATTTGTTTTTTTTATGTTCGAGATATTTTCCTATATGTTGCTAATCGTTCGATTAAAGGCCATTTGACAAATTACAAATCTAAAAATTACGTTTGGTTTTGTTTGGCCATTTTTTGTCTGAGAGCAATCTTAAAAAACAACAGGACAATCATGATCAAGCTTGTTGACTCCAGAATTGGATTCTGATCAAATTAGAATTGAGTATGTGCCTTCAGATGAACAAGAAGCTCATCTGCTCACCAAACCTCTTAGTGGACAGCCCTTCAAAATCCTTCGTAGACCTGATTTTTTGGGGAAGTGTTGATGGAAAAATCAAATAACCAGCCCTACCATTGAATTCGTGCAAGATTTCTTTACCAGAGGTTTCATCAGAATACTTGCAATTGAATTTTCCCATAATTTCCAGTTGCACCCTGAATATTTCTAGATTTTTGGATTCTAGATTCAATTTTACTGTTTTACACCTCTTACGTTGTTTTCTGTAATTTATATGAGGTTGATTAAAGAAAATATTTTTTTAGGTCCACATTACTACAGATTTTCACTGTGTTTTAATTTATCCATTAAGAATTTTAAACAATTTTGAAATATCAAAATGAGAATTATACTGTTAAGTCAATTTTTCCAAATTAGATCGATCACAATGGCTATGGTATTTTGAAGCACTCTGTATATATCTTTTAAATAACTGCATTTACTAATCGACAATCATTATGCTTCTTTTTTCAGTTGCACATTGTACATATTAAAACCTTTAATCTGGACTGGATCTACGCAATCTGCTCAACACTAACAGGGTCAGGTTGAAAAAAAGGCTGGTGCCAAAATTACCTTTTACTCAATAATTCTCTGTTTAGGACATAGGTATATACACAAACATATTTAATCAGGTATTGTTAATATCTCACAACCTTTTGGTGTAATAAGAACAGTGTGTTCGAATTGGGCAGTTCTTGAATTGTCGAGGGTTATTGCGGTCCAATTATCCTCAAGCACACCAATCTCCCCTGTACCCTGAGATAAAACTGGCTCTATTGTAAACGTCATTCCTACGTCCATTACACCGGGGTAATTATTTCCTAAAGAGAATGAGTGTAATTCGTTCCAGATTGAATGTTGGGTACAACTTACGAAAATGGTAGATGTCAGGTGGACCGTGAAAGTAGCTGCCAATACCGTGACCAATAAATGCCGGCACGACTGAGAATTTCAGCTCCCTGGCTTTTTTTTGAATGGCGGCTCCGATCGCGGAAAAAGATTGTCCCGGTTTGCAAATTTCAATAGCGGCTTCCAAACATACTTGTGTTGCTTCTACTAAATCGCAGCCTTTTTTATCGACTTGACCGATCAGAAATGTTTTTGAGCAATCGCCGTGGTAATTGTCTAGGAACACCTGAAAGATACAATTCTGTTAATATAATGGAAAATGATCCTTATTCACTACTGTTTTATTTTTCAGCTACGTAGCCTGACATGAATTCCACAGAAAACATGTTAAAGAATCGATGCTTACGCAATTAAATTTTTCACAAAGATCTCTAATGCATGGCGATATGAAAATGCGCAATTGCGGAGCTTAAAATTTGAGTTTAATTATTATTCTACTGCAAATACTAAAATCTTAATTATAACAAGAGAGGGATAATAAATAAATAAATTTGTTTAGGGGGAAAAAAAGAGTACTGATTTATAAATCCCAAACGAAAAATATGAACACCACCTTTAAAAATGCCGTGTGTCTTTTCGTCTCTTTATAGCTTCTTAATTTGTTTGAGAAAAAAAGTGACACTTTAGGAAGACAAAACATGTTAATTTAATCCATGTGTACAAAAAATGAACAACAATCCTGCTGATATTTAAGAAAGTGGCTAGCACAGATACCACCCCTGTACGCCTGCGCATGCGCGTTCTGCCCAAAAAGTTTTTCAGCTCTATGTGTAAGAATATGTGTACCAAATTTGGTTCCACGTATTTTACAACTTAATAATAATAGAGATTTATTGCCCAACAGAACAGACATTCCAATTACAGGACAATACATATTTAATAGTTAACGCGCAATTATTTAGTGTAATAAGAAAAAAGAAACACAACAAAAACTCAAAATCTTAACATAACTAAACAACAACAAAATAATTAAATTCATATCTAAAAAAAAAACAAAATTAAAGTACGACTATGGTAGCTATGATCTCACAAGTTGAATAATGTTTTGTTATTATTATTGGTTCCAATGTTTTTATGGAATAATCTCTTTAGCCCCTTTTTTAGAGCCCAAAAGATGTGCTTGGTATACATTTGGGTGAATCCGGCATTGCCAAAAGATATACCAGTGTGCCAATCGATAATCTACGTCTGATGCTTGGATGAGCTCATAGATGAACTAATGGGAATAACAAAATTATGTAATTCCAGAATTATATGTAAGAAAAACGTTTTACCTACGTGCTCAATTTGACAATATATTAGGTGACAATGTATATTGTGTGAAAATGGTTATAATGGAGGTGGGAGTTGCTCCGGGTAGTGTATTGGAGCCTTTACTATCCCAGCTGTACACAACTACATAAACAAATGAAACAGAGATGTTAAAAACAATCTAAAAGCACCTCCTCCTCAATCGTGTTAATACACATAAAAATTATGGTATAATTAAACAAAAACTCACTGTAATATCTACATTAACTATGTCACCATCCTGCAAAGGCCTATCATCTGGTATGCCATGGCAAGCTACATTATTAACAGATGTACACACAGACTTTGGAAAATGCTTATAATTTAACGGTGAGGGATATGCACCATTTGCAATGACTAGCTCGTGTATAACTGCATCTAATTCGTCTGTAGTCTGTCCCACCTATAAATGTTAATAGTTTCCACTGAACACTTTGACCTTCCCACTTACCTACGTGGATAATTCTTCCAATTTCATCTAAAACGTTTGCGGCCAGCTTGCAACTGCTGCGCATTTTTTTAATTTCGTTGTCCTTCTTTATTTCTGGGCGAAGCAACGGGAGGGGGGGCGTTCCCGACTCATAATAGGTAGGTTTTGCTATATGTGATGGAACTGATCTCGGTGGTGAAATTTTGCCGGGCGTGACAATCTTATAAGTACCAAAGTCGGTCCTTAAAATGCAATTTTAGCTTAGTACATTTGTGGCATTACTCACTTTATGGGCCAGAAACGACGTAGATAACGGAACTGTCTCATTTGAACACCCTGTATATTGAATCTCGCTGAACTGCACTTTAGATAAACGGGTTGTGTTCCGGAAATAATCTCTCGTCAAGTAGGTACTATTTTTAATAAGTCATTGCTAATGGTAATTTCAGTTCGTGAGACGGGAAATAGGAAAAAAAACTAATTGCAATGTACGTACGGCTGGCGCCAGGGTGCCGATTTTCGCCGCCTGGCTGTTTTATCGTAACTGTCAATTTGGGTCACGTGACCAGTAGAGGCGGCGACAATTCTACTGCTTTATAGAAAATGTACCGAAATCATTTGCAATTGAAAGAACAGAGTTAAAGTGGTGCAAGGGAGCTAATAATAAAGACCGTTTTATCGTTCGGAATATCACTTTCACCTTCCATGATAATTTCGTGGATTCACCTTGTGTAACACGGCCTAGTGTTGATCTACCGACAACACAGGTTTGTAGATTCTATTTTTAATTATTATTTGCATGTTCGAAGCTAATTTAAATCGCTCCTAAAATATACGACCCAATCAAACGCAAATTAAATCCCTTTAACATAATTCCTAAACGAAATTCGATTATAATAAAATCGATAAAAAGCCTTGTTTACAAACGGCCAAACCAAACACAAATTTAAATCGTGCGGTTACGAGTTGCACGTTGTGCATTATTTATAATTTAAATTCGCATAACTACCTACTTATTTAACTATAACGCTTTATGTTTACCACTTAAGACGGAGTGGCTTAAGTGCACTTGATATAAAACTTTAACGATGTGTAGTACTGCACTTTGCTATTTATAAATTCTTCAAATTCTATCCTGTTGATTCCTCTGATCTAATTTACTTTTTTTTTGAGATTGTACTTAATCTTTTTTTTAGTCATCATGTCTTGATCATGAGTTCAAAGTGTTTACTTCAAGAATTTCTTTATGGGAAAACAACGCAATTAATTAAAGTGCTTCTTTAGAGATTATCAAATTGTTCATTAAGTAGTTAGATTATTTCACATATTAATCACAGTGAGGCTGTCAAAAAGTCTACATAACTGCCTTTCTTCCTCTATTTTTTCTTCACTCAATTACAAAAAGTGTAAGATTTTGAAAAAACCTTAATTTGGAAGGACAATAATTGGCCAAAAATGAAGGTTCCTGAATTATATCACACTCAACTGTTTTACATGTCGTATTCCACAACTGCCTTGCTTCTAAGTACTTCAAAGGGTTAACTTGTTATTGGAGTATGCTGTGGAGACCAAATGGAGTCTTAGTTAGGTAATCCTTGATATTCTCCAGTAGGGTTGCCATCTGGCCGGTTTCCACTAACAAGATCGTCCAAAAAAGGCAGGTTTTTCCACCATTGTTAATTTGTAATTCGATGGCTGACTAGTGTACACACGCCGTACAGTTTACAATGATTATCGTTGAATATATTTAAATATTTTCTTGTGGTGGAACAACTTGCTAATCAGTGCTACAGCTGATCAAGTGTATTGTTTTGATTGCGTTTCTAATTAAATTGTTGCAACAAACAAACATTGACCATTACCATCGTATTGGCCAACATAAAACCAACCAACCGCGACTGTTAATCTTTAAGTTTCTATCGCTCAGATATCCCTAGCGCATATGGCTAGCTGTTAAAAGGATCTGGAGTAGTGATCACTGAATCTTTTAGTGCTGATCGTTTTGAACTCTTAAAAGCCGCAACAGACAAATTTAGTATTAAAAATACGAATGGAGCGAAAACGTATATCGTATGTTGAACTCCAAAAAACCTAAGGAAATGGGACCTAGCATGCGCTCTAGGAATAGGAATTACAAAATTTGGGAATGTGTAATCACAGAAATTTTTTGGGTTCAATTGTGATTGAATTCAAAGTTCAATTTTGTTTTGTTTCAATGTAAATAAATTAAATATTGTAAATGATTGGTATGATGGTATGTTTTTATTGTATTGTCATTGTCATAATTGTAAGGTGTGAGCAACAAAATTTTGATTCAGAGATGGCTGTGGAAATGTTAGGTCACGCCATAGAGGCATTCCTCTATCTTTAGTCACGCCTAATATTAATTTTAAGTAGGTGAGTAAAAATGATGTCTGGAACACTCAATATATCATCAAAACAACGTTTTTTTTAAATGAAGCTCTTTATGGTATCCAAAATTATAGAAGTTTTCTACCAAGCTATAAATACTTTAAATTTGTAGGCAGTGGCGTACTTCTACATGGTCAAAGGGGGTTATTTTTTTATGGAAACCACTATTTTTCATCACATTTTCTTAGAGTACATTGTTTTTTAAAAAATACTCAAATTTAAGAGAAAAATCTAAATTAAGGAACTTTTGTTTTTAATGGAAAGCACTATTTTTTTTATCAAACTTGTAAAATTATGATATTAATTATTTATTAACTATTTTTCTTAATTTGAGTTTTTCTCTTAAATTTGATTATGTAATATAATACGTTTTTCAAGAAGTTTTTTATGCTTCTATATCCAACAGTGTAGTGAAAACTAGTGGTTGCCATTTAAAAAAATATGCCCCCCTTGACTATGCAGAAGTACGCCACTGACCACAAATTTAAAGTACAATGGTAGCAATAGCTTCTTCGAAGAAAATGTTGTTTTTTCATATTCAGTGCTCCAGACAAAATTTTACCCTATATACTCTTATCACTGAAACATAACAATTACCTCTTTCAAGACCAACAATTAAAATTTTGTTGTTCATTTGTTACAAGTCATATATTATGTTTATGTTTGAGAGCCTTCAGAAATCCAAAATAATCTCTAAGGCGCTACAACGATCTTTCAAAGGCTTAGCTTTCAAATCTTTGAAATGTTCCCTATCTTAAAGAACAAAACTTTTGAGGTTTTCTTGTAAGGTAAAAATTTTTATCACCCCCCGGAGGCTGCCATAAAACCTACAGGATCAGTACAGGAATATGTAGCCGTTATGGCTTCACACTTAAATTTTTTGTCCTGCGCCACCCCCCTGGATGTAGGAAGAGAGTGCAAAGTGTATTCCGGAAGCCTACAGTCGCAAGTTTGAAAATCCGTAGCGGGTGAAGGAGGGGAGATACAAAAAATTTTACGTTGCGCGCGGTTGGCCCGATCTGTAGGGTGTACAAATCGGGTGGTGCACCTAACCTCATCTTTTTAGTGGAACACCTTGTTAATTTGATTTCAAAAAGATACCCCATTAAATTCTGTTCCCCAAATTTTACAGTAAAGAAATTCAAAAAAATTCAATATTGGTTGAAAAAGATTTAAAAAATGCTAAATTTTTAGCGCATTTTTTAAGAATTAAAGAAATGTGCTATTTTTTGCGTTTTGTCCGTCCGTCCGGACCCACTTCTGCCGTTTCAAACTACTTCTAGGGGAATGGTCCTAGAGTCCTGGAATTTTTTGCAGTAGGTAGCCTATACCTTGAAGGTGTGCCAGACGGACATCAAATTTCGCCGCTGTCTAAAAGGCCCCCCCCCCCCACGATTTATTTCCTGAGATGCTGTTTTTGAAAGTATAACGTGCATAACTTTTACGTACGACAACCAATTGGTCTCAGATTTTGCATACGCATGCCTTTAGTGGTGCTAAGGTAAACTTTAGGAAATGGGGGGGGTTAACACATGTTCTACCCTTCATGGTATTCTAATGAAAGGTCTCGTCGAAATAAATGGGTTTGTACAAACTATAACTTTCCCGTGCGACTCTTTCTCGAGATCAGTGAGCGACTGGGTCTGAGGGGGGGGGGGGATTAATTTTATCTCATTGTATTCTAATTAGGTCTCAACGAAAAGAACCACCGTTTTCTACCAACTACTGCCCTTCTTTCTGTCCTCTTATCAAACTACGGGGTTGAGGGGGAGGGGGGGTGGAACTACATAGTTTTATCCTTCATGGTACTCTAATCAAAGGTCTATTTCGGTTAAAAAAATGCGCTTTACCTGCACAAGAGTTGTGTACAATTTATACTTGTTTTCATTCTTTTTTTAATCTTAAATTTTATATTGAATCATTCGTATTTTTTTAAATCATCTCTAGTATGTTATATTTTTGCATATACTATCTTTTTAGATTAAAATATATAGTGTTCTATTTAAGAAATGAATTTATTAAATATGTAATACGCAAGTACACCGATTTAATTAAGGAATGTCCCCCACCCCTCTGCTTCTCTCTTAACTGTCTGTGTTAAGTTTGTTGGCCTTCGTGTTTAACAACCAATACAAAGACGATTTCTGGATTGTTTTTATTGGTTATTAGATTCACATGTACTGTTTGTAAAATTCAATGATGTGAAATTATCCCGCAAATTATTTAACGCATCCTGTGTAATATCATGATCAAGATCATCCTCAGAATCTGATGACGATTTTTCTTCATTTATCAAATCAAAGTAATTATCAAGATAAATTGGCTTTTCTGTGGGTTCTGCATTCAACTGTGGTGCAATGTTGTCGTTTTTAAACTTGTATAATTTAGTTTAGATCATGACAAGTAAATACAGGGTGTTACAAATATTTATTTATTTAAAAAATTGATAAATAAACTAAGGGTCCAACGTGTTTTGTTTGAAATTTGCATTTCTTTTTTAATGTTTTTCTCAGCAACCATAAGAGCTAGTTAAAAAGCTTTAGGGGTATGCTTTTTCCGATTTTGCAAAAAATGTTTAAAAATTCCTACGCGCACCCTAAATTGGGGGTGTGAAATGAAATTCTGATTTTGACAAAATTTGTACACACCAAATTATATGAAATTCTGCGTATTTTGTAGTCTTCAAATGCCAAATTTCTTCCAGATCCTGTACAACAAAATATATGCGCCTACTCCGAGGCCTACCCTGTCCTCCTTTTGTACATGTCTTCAGCTACTTTTTGCCCCGACGCAAAATTACACTTCACCACATAGTGCATTTAAGTATGCGGATGACATAATATAGCGGTTGCTGTTAGTGCCCATATTTTGTGGCTGCACTACAAAAGTTAAATTGCGTGGTCAAAGAATTTGTACAATGATGGTGGCAAAATAATAAATTATTCATTAATCCAAACAAAACTGTAATTATGAATATGAAAATTTCGGCAATAAAGAACAATCACTTCACCTTAACAATCGAAAATGACGTAATAGTGTGTTCTACATTGGCTACTTGGAATTGAAGGTAAATTTAAAATCATTACTGGTCCCAAAGATCATAGAAAGTATTCCCTACCCTACAGGCTTGTGGCCAACAAGCCAATAATAAGCAACTAGAAAGATTAATTATTAATAAACGACCCAATAATTAGATTAAGATTTGTGTATTTTGCATTTTTAGTGTTAAGAAAAATGCGATAGATCGTACAACGAAGAACCAAAATGTTTTCTCTCAGGACTACGTTATTTACAATATTTTATCTACACACAATCGCAGTAAATGCAATTTTTGATGTCGACTCGAACAGTTTAGAAGAAATAATTACGTGCGCCAGTGCAACCGGCACCATTGCGCACGTAACGGACAATGCGGACCCCGACTTTGAAGAGAATTCCACCGAGCGTACCATAAGATGTAAAACAAACCATTGTTACTCATTTTGGAAGGAAGACGCCAATGGAACCGTCAGCATTATGGGACAAGGTATGACATTTTACTCGAGGTAATTAATTTTATTTCAAGAGGCACTTAGATAAAAGCCATTAAGAATCTCTTAAAGCAATGTGGTTCTTATTCATTTTCAAGTGGTTTTTTTTTCTTGGAATTGTATTTCAACATGTGTTCTCGGTGTCTTATTTACAATTTTGTCTATTTTTATACTTGGAACAAGTTGCATTTTTATACGAATGTCCCTGAAGTAATTTATGTTAACAGGTTGCTGGGAGACCTCTGGAAAAGCACAAGACTGTGATCGAAGCCAATGTATCTCTGACAAAAAACCTCCAAAAGCGATGAATACGACTAAGTTCTGTTGCTGTGCAGGGGACATGTGCAACAGAAACTTTACAGACGTCTACATACCACAAGAAGAAACTTCGTCGCCTCCTACAATTGTAACGGAAGGTGCGCCTAAAGTCAATATGAGCCCTTTGTTGTGGACAGCCTTTGGGATTTCCTTTGTATTATTAATGGTAGGCGTAGGAGCCCTGATGTGCTTCTGCTGGCGAATGAAGCCAAACAAGCACAACGTAGAAACCGGTCAAGTACCTCTTCCTCCACCCGAAGAGTATAGCATCGACAAACTGAAACTATGCAGCATGATTGGTATGTTAAGCGATTTTTAAATTCGTTTTTAATTTTAATATTCAGGTCACGGTCGATACGGAAGCGTATGGCGCGGACTAGTCGACGATCAACAAGTTGCCGTCAAAGTATTTCCGCCCCATCATCGCAATTACTTCTTAAACGAACACGAGCTTTATAAAATTTCTGGTGAAAGTTCAAGCGTACTAAAATGTTTCGGAGGAGGAGAACGTGCGCAAAGTCCCAACGGGCTATCGGATTACATACTCATTTTTAACCTCGAACAAGAATGCCTGCAAGAGTATTTAAAAAATCACACCATCAACTTAACCGTATTATGCCGGATGAGTTTGGGTATTGCCAAGGGATTGGCTCATCTGCATTCCGATTTGGGAAAACCGTGCATCGCACACCGTGATATTAATACAAGGAATGTGCTGGTGCGGGCGGATCTTTCCTGTTGTATATGCGACCTGGGGTTGGCGGTGGTACCCCGACGGACGGAGAATCATTCTCTAAGTGAAGCAGGTAAATTGAGTGTTAGTTGAGAAGCAAACCTGATTCACAGAAACCATATGCTATTAACCTACTTCTACTGTATCAGTATTAACTCTTTGATCAAACTATGTACTACTGCCTACATTTTTTGCGCTCCCAATTGTTTGGATTTACCCAACATTTGCTTTATTAATTGGACAAACTTTTAGTAAAGTTGTTAGAAGATGCCAAGAGCAGCGGCTCATGGGGTTCTTCTTAACTGCGGCATATTTTAACCTCGGGCGTCAAAGAGAAGGTATAATTCGCCTTTGGTTCTTCAGGAGTAAGCGATTTTAATAATAATAACGTTTATTGTGTACAGAAAATATACACAAAAGGAGGAAATTCGGCAAAAACCGTTCTTCCATTTCCCCTTAAAATAAAAGTTTACATTTTCTCGTTCCTAAATTGCGGAGGTATATAATGACTACAATAAGTAGGTAGGTATACATCTAAAATATAAATCATACAAAAAATGTAACATGGTTAATTGACAAAGAAAACAGTATGCAAAAACAAAAATTGAACTACAAAAATTAATCCTAATAATAATAAGAATAATACTTAACTACATTTCCTTCCAAGTGAGATTTCTAACGAATTCTTTACTGAATTTTTTGAAAGTCGACGGTGGCATTTCAATTTTACTTAACACTAAATTTAAGAGGTATGGTGCTAAATACTCAAAACGACCCTTCATATTTTACGGTTGCATGTTGTGGAAGTGTAAAGCTATTTATTCTTATATTAATATTGTGCATTTCTGATCTTCTTATTAAGAAATTGATGACACTTTCAGAATGCTCCAATTGGATCGTGTCAAATTTCTGTTTTCATATAAAACGAGGGTATAAGTAAAGGATGAGTTTAGGTCCCACAAGCCAGCAGAGCCATTTTAGAAAAATGAAGGACGAAATACATCAGAATTATAGGATTATTATAGGCCCTTTTTGGACACTTTAACTTATTTTCAGGCGGCAAGAAAAAAACTACGGCTCTGCTGGCTAAAGACGAAGCCAGCTGACCACTTGTGAGATTTGCTTTGAAGGCGAAAAATTCAGATCACAAAATTATAGGCTATTTATAGGCTTTTTTTAGACACTGCAACAAATATTCAGGCGGCATCCTTTAAACAAAAAAAACTATCATCCAGATCAGTTTGATTTTGCCCCTCTCGGAGATGTAGTGGATAAATAAAAATTATTTATTTATTGTCTATTTATTGTCCCTCTCTTGTTCTGGGCCCTCAACGGGCTTTCGCCCAATTAATATATTTATTTAAATTCTAACTTATATTTCAAAAATCCGATACAACTGAATACCAAACGATCCTCGAGATCTTCACACATACATCATTTTTACAATACACCCTAAGGGGTTGATTCTGTCCCACCTGAACAGCATAGCTTGTAACACAAATTTTTTGAAATGGAATTAGTTTTACTTTTATTTGAGGTGCCTGAATACAACATTTCATTTAAATACCTTAACAAATAAAAGAAAACCGACTGCGCATGCGCAAAACAATTTTTTTGATTTGGCATTAGTTTCACTTTTATTCGAGGTGCCTAGATACAGAATTTCATTTAAATATATTAACAAATAAAAAATTAGGATTGAGCAAATACAAAAGTTATGCGCATGCGCAGTATTTGTTTGCATCTGCATAGTTGCCTGAAGTTTAAGAAATATTTACTAACACAAAAAACCGGACATCCATATGTGATATGTTCTTTGTAACAAGAGTTAGAAACCCTTTTTGGAGGTTTGCGCAGTTTTTGATCTAACTTTTTGGCCCATTGGTCTACGTAGCCGAAAAACAATTGCGAACTTTATTATATCCTGAAGAACATGTCTATATCAATTTTTAAAGCGATCAGACATTTCTACACACTGACAGACAGACGCACAGACAGGCAGCAATACAAAATTATAAACGATCTCGAGGTTCGTTAATAATATAATGAGACGAATAATTTTAATTTTTTTTTGTACTTCTTTCCAATTCAGGAATATCGTTTCAACTTTTCTTCTCCAATAATATAAGAGAAGATGCATAGACAACTAAGACACTTTTAACATTACTTTTGTTAAAACCTGAAACACAACAACTTGCTATATATTTGATTTATTAGTAAAAGAGAATTCAAATTTCAAATACCTACTTGACAGAGGTCTCCAAACAGGTGGAACAATCCCTAACATTAAAGTTACTAGAATCTGGTAACTTCCGCAATTTTTGGGCAAAAAACATGCGTTCTCTCTCTAACACACGGGCCCAATGGATTGCGGTACTGTCTATATTTAGTGACTTATAATGGATCTACAGTGACTGTATACCTACTGTATAGAGGCAGTTTGGTCATACTTTGGTGTTGTTTTTTTTATTGGTAGATGAGATATCCGCCATATTTTAACCAAATAAATCGGGTTGGCGGAAATTAACTTGGAATCCAAGGTGATCAAGTCACAAACAGTTGTGGCAATAATATTGTAACCATAGAAAAATGCCAAAATCTACCAATTCAATTAAACCGATCAGCTCAATGAAGAATATGGGAAAAACATGGCGGATATAGAGCATATGACCACACTGTCTTTATACAGTCACTGTTAATGGATCGATATTAATTACAAGGCAAAAATTTTGGGCATGCGCATAACGTATCGCACATGTGATCAGCTAGCTTCTTCTTTAGCCAGCAAAATCATAGTTTTTTTGTTTAAAGGATGCCGCCTGAAAATTTGTTAAAGTGTCCAAAAAGGGCCTATAATCAGCCTATAATTCAGATGTATTTCGTCCTTCATTTTTCTAAAATGGCTCTGCTGGCTTGTGGGACCTGATGAGTTTTACTTCCATAACAAAATGTGGTCGGGGGGGGGGGGGGGGGGTGAATTGTTTTTTTTTTTGAAAAGCTAACAAGTCCTACTTTTATTATTGCGGGTCTTACTTTTAATTAAAACCCAATAAGCATTATATGAGTGTGAGAGAGACAACTTTACTAATGTTGACAGTATTAATTAAATGCGTGATTGATATTAGCCTACTCCATAGACGCATGAATGGCATCAGCACTTTTAGGTTTGTGTGTGTATTCTATCTCACTTTACACTCATTATAATGCCTATTGTGTTATAGATAAACAGAAAGAGGCATAAAATAGAGAAAGAAAAAAAAAGAAACAGAGACGGATGGAAACTGTAATTGTAGGGTGATAGTACAGAGGTAGATAGAGAGAGGCCATTATAAATAGACAAAGATAGACACAGGAAAACGAAAAAAAAACAAACAGAGAATGTGAAACGAACAGAGAGAGTAGGAGACATTCTTTAAGAGAGAGAGAAATAGGTGAAGGGGATTGAACGAGATGGGCGAAAACACTTGTTCTTATTAATTTTGGTGCGTAGAATCCAAAACAATTCGTACTTTTTCGATCAGACTTCTCAATCAAAAGTTATAGACTAGAAACCAATTTCGAAAGAAAATTCAAAGGGCTGTAACTTTTCAACTAGTAGCCCAATCTTGGAACTGTTTGAAATTATGGATTCTACAGGCCAGGTTCTATAAGAAAATTTTTTTTCCGGGTCGATCTGAGACAATTTTTTTTCGGGGCAAAAAAAAAAGGCAGTGTATAACCTTCCTTTTTTCCAAACATTGACTGCACCAAAATTTCTCGGGAAAACACTTTTTTTTATTAATTTTGGTGCGTAGAATCCAAAACAATTCGTACTTTTTCAATCAGAAAACCTTACTTATATTTGTGGAGGAAAATCCAAACGGTCCGTTAACTTAGCCACCCATTAGCCCAACAATGAACCAATTTTTTTGTATCTACTGTGCCTCAATTTTGCATTTATACTCACGGTTTGTGATTTTTCGGTTTTAGAAAATTTTTCAAAAATTCTAATAGGGGTAAAACGCTTTACTTTAGAGAAAAAACTCCATTTTTGGTTTTTGAGTAGTTCAAACTATAGTCTATTATCTGTGAACCAGTCGTTGGTGGCTCCTTGCATTTGCATCACGTTTCTAAGTAGTTCATTTTGGTTTCGTTCTTATAATTATGGTGTGATCAGCAAAAAGTGTCCAGTGTACAGCTTTGAAACGTTTCGGTAGGTCGTCCACATGTATTAGTAATAATATGGGTCCCAATACTGAACCTTGTGGGAGTCACTAACTAATTGGAAGTGCATGGGAGGTCACTTCTTTACAAACATTGTGGATTTGAAGATATATTCAGTGTCCCAGACAACATTTACACTCTGTATAAGTAAAGAAAAAAATTCATTAAATTTATTGAATTAAAAATTACAATTTAACATTCCATCTAGGAATAATAATAATGAGAGGGAAGTGGCCTTCTTATAATTAGGAATCTTTTTAGGTACTTTGAGATATATGGCTCCAGAGGTACTAGAAGGTGCAGTAAATCTTCGCGACTGTGAAAGCGCATTGAAACAAATTGACGTTTACTCGTTGGGACTAGTACTATGGGAACTTGGTACACGATGCATCGATATGCAAGCGTGCGAACCTCAGCCTTACGCGCCGCCTTTCTACAAGGAAGTCGGGGAGAATCCCAGTTTAGAGCAGATGCAGGCCCTTGTCAGTCGACGAAAAGCGCGCCCCCTTTGGCCTCCATCGTGGAGAGATACCGTAGCCGCGCGTTTGCTATGTGAAACCGCCGAAGATTGTTGGGATCAGGTAAGTTGCTTGAATTAAAGTCACTAGATATAGAAAGTACCGCAATCATCCGCCATTTTTGGGCAAATTTGCTGCCAACTTAAAAAAATTGACAAATAAAATCTGAATAGCTGTCATTTTTTATACCCTAACTTCATAGTACTGTCATGCTTTATAAAAATATATAGATATCTCCAAACAGGTGGAACAATCCCTAACATTAAAGTTACTAGAATCTGGTAACTTCCGCCATTTTTGGGCAACAATCATGCGTTCTCTCTCTAACACACGGTGCTTTCTATATTTAGTGACTTTAGCTTGAATTGTTAATAATTCTCTACATTGTTTTGTACAGGACGCCGAAGCTCGTCTAACATCACTGTGTGTCGAAGAAAGGCTCTTGGAGTTACCGACACTTCGAGGTCGAGTCCTACATCCAATGCATCCTCCAGCAAGTCCCACCCCCCTAATCAACAATAATCACTTACACGATCACACAATAGATTCTTCAGTAGGTACAATAGAAACACTACTGTCACCTAGCGAAGAAAATTGTAAAAATTCAAACCAGTTGGCAGTATGCGTAACGCCCCTCCAACCGTATCAAGGCCGAAATCCTTGCCTGGAGCGAAATCTACTTTCGGGGTCGAGCGACTGCCTGCTCATAGATAAGTCCTCCAAACATTGTACAAGTTCCGACTCCCAAAATTTAATTACAAACGATTTTCTAAACTTTCAACTGAATCACCGCGCTGTGCCTATTCCATATGTTCAAAATGCCGTACACGGTAGTCCGAAGCGGTATAATGGAAACGTAATTGTACCTCCGAAAACGAAATTTAAGTGGTTAGATTTTAAAAAATTGTTCCATAGTAAAAAAGATCAGGCCAATTCTGCCGATTTAGCTTCACGTAAAGAAACCAAAGTACAAATTATACCCGGTAAACTGGTAAATAGTTTCGGACAGAATGGTGTGACGACAACGCTCATTAATGAAAATGAGACAAAACGACCTAGCACATTACCATTGTCCGTCGTACAAGTAGACCAGCACGAGAATGGGGTGTGCAACACGTCTGGCGTTACCCATCTTTTAAAATGCAAAGATAGCCTTTCTAGGCAACGTTCTCTAGAGCAGTTTAACGAAGTTTTTTCGTCTGTGACGGATCTGACAAAGTTAAAGGATCCGTCTGTGCGGGTAAAAACGCCGGGTGATGTTCCCCCTTCGGTTAGACGAACGAGAGGGAAAGCCGCGAATAATTCGGCACGTTTCTCTTTATACGACGATCGAATCATGAGCATGGGGCAGTGGGGTAGTGCGCCCGATCTGGACCCCGCCCCAACTCACGTGGCGATACCTCAGCAAGACTCTCAGGATAGAGAGAGCATCAGTAGTTTTTAAACAGTTTTGCACATGCGCGAAATTGTAGAGCAAAGTGGTTAGTACCTAACCTATGTTTTATTTATTTATTTTTTGTATTTGTTTTTTTTATTAATTTGTTTTTAAACTGGAAATTCCAGGCTAAATATTTATATCATGAGATTTCTCCCAAGGAGGAATGAAGAAGTGGAAGTAATGCCATGTTGAGAGTAGGTAGTGATCTTCATAATTGAAATTTATGACAATAGAAACCTTACATCACATTCATTTCGAGAAGGTCCAACATGATTTTGCAAAATCACCTGTCAATAGTAGATATGCTATTTTTTTTAAATATAACCTGGACAAAAAGATCAATTTGGTTGATTTTTTAATTTGCAAATTAGACTTTGTATCAGAACATCTCGGTTAAATTGGGGCAAGTTTACTAAATATAAATCCGAATCTGAAAGTTAAAGCAGGCTTTGCATCAACTCTGGTAGATTTAAAAACAGTCGACTAAAACTCAGTACAGTAAAGTCTCATTGTATGAGTTAATTGGGACTGGATGTACCTTGGATTTCGAAAAACTCAGATTACACGGTGAGCATCTCTGGGCTTCCATAAAAGTTTATTCAACAATTCCACAGTTATATTGCACTCATCTTGCAAGTTCTTTACAATATTGGTAACTTCCTTTTTTCCTCAATCCATTTCTAATGGTCTAGAGGAATTGAATAGGAACATATTTACAATTACAGAAACTTAATTGCAACCAGGCTTCTTGCAGTTTAGGGTCTGAAGTAGATTTTTTCGGGGTTGCAGTTTTTCACAAGAGTTATTTAAATAGTGATCTCATCTTTGCGCAGGATTCTGTTTGATTGTGTTCCGTGGGCGAGTAGTTCTTTAATACGGTCCTGATTTTGTAAATTTTTCTTTTTTTAATGTGAATATTGTGACCTGCTTTCATTTATTTTTATATTCCATCTTGTAAGCCATTCCTATATTTCAAAAAGATGGTCCTGAAGGTTTGCAGACGCTGTCAAACGTGCCAGGTATGTGGAATCTGATGTGTATAACACAGGGGTCGGCAACCTATTGAAACGGAAGAGCCAAAAATTACAATTTACAAAATTTCCCAGTTTTTAAAGAACCACAAAAAATTTTTGATTGAATGTTATGGTATTTAGCTATATACAGGGTCCTGCAACAGCGCGTTGGTTTTTCGTACATAGCTGATACCTGGTAAACAATACTGGTGGTTGCAAATCTACAGAAATTATTTTTGAATGTACAGGGTGTCCCATTTTTACGATGTCAATAAATAACTGATCTTTTTAAATGGAACATCCTGCATATTTTTACTTGTTTCAATGCCATTTGTTCAAAGTGCTATAACTATTCTTTTTCAAATGGAACTACCACTATTTTATTTCGCTATTCAATTGTCTTTTGTGTTCTCTTCAATGTTTATAAGGGGTGCCATGTGCTTAAACCCCACAGTTTTTATGTTATTCAATATTTTTCACAAAAGTACCTACTCATTAATTAATTACGTGTTTATACATCGGAGTAGGCTGCTATAATAAAAAAACAAAAGAATATCAGAAAGTAAACAGAGTGTCACAAATTACATAATTATTTGCTGCAAGTGTACTTTTGATTTCGTAAACAAATAAGATTAATTAAAAAGGCGAATTTCGAACAAATGAACTAATTTCTTTAGATAAATATGGAGAGCCGCAACTGTATATCAAAAGCAGTGATTGTTTAAACTCAAATTTTTTCAAAACTAAGCACTAACTGGTCAAACTTCTAAAGCATAATACAAGTATATAAATAAAGTGCATTGTACCGTGGTAACGATTATTTTTGATTGGTGTGGTAACTAAGGGGTGATTTTCATATTTTTTGGTCGCCGAAAAAAATTGGGATTTTTTCTTCGCGAACACATTGATACTCATTTCGACTGATTTTGTAAAATAATGGCGGACTCTTGCAATCTCAAAAAGTAATGAACATAAATCTGAACAGGTACAGGGTATTGATTCACACAGCTGACTTGCCGCAAGTCCGAACCGTATCTTTCTAGCCAACTTTTTGCCGCATAAAAAAACTGACTGATAATCGAAAACTGGGACTGACGTGGGTGTGTATTTTTGCATGTAGGTATCCCAAGGAAAATGTACCATAAATGTAGATCTCTAGAAAAGTATTATAAACACTTTAATGTGCAGATAAAATACCTTAATTGTAAGCCTAAACTTTTGGGTAATTCCGAATTCAAATGTTGGTGTTTTTTTTAATTTATAATACAAGAACCTAGAAGTACATAATAATTGCCTTAAAGTTTAGAAAATGTTACTGTATAGTAATTACTTTTAATGGGAATGAACTGTACTGGTGCTCATACTAAAATCTCTCGCGTTGTTTTCTGAGATTCTCAAGTACAAAAAGGCGAATCTCAGCTGGAAATACTACGCTATCGTATATGTAGAATTAAGATCATTATTTAAATTGTTTTTCTGTGATTTTGCTTGAAAATTCAAATTGCGTTTGTGCTCTTAACATTTGGGTGATTTGTAATTTTATATAATTGTTTGGCTGTGTATAAATGTGTTTACATTCCTTCATCAAGTGAAACATGTTTTGCTTTTTGTCTTTTAAAGAGTCTTCATTTTACATTTCAATTATTTTTTTAGATAATAAAATTATGTATACATTTACTATTAATAAAGGCAACTTTTTAAGAATAAATGCATAGGGTAATTGAGGGTCCATTCCTCACCTCATTAAGAGGCATCAGGACTCTGTATATTAAATGCCTAAACATATCTACGTTGTCCCTATAAATTTAAAGTATGACAAAGGTATTTTACTGATGTGTTGATTGATATCGATTCAGCAAGAATGCCGCCGTGCTTCTCTAAGGGCATTTTTTTTAAAACAAGCGAAAAAAAAACAAAATATACGGCGTTAAAGTTGCGACATTTTAGTGATTTTTAAAGATCAATTTCTTCTTAAAAAAGCAAAAAAAGAAAATTTTACTATTAGAGAGGCATACATTTAGTCTATGGGCCAACTGGCTAAATTTAAGGAAATGGTATAATTTGGGGGTACCAATTTTGCTTTTTACCACGGTTAGACACATATATTAGGATGTAAAAAAACCATAATTGCCATCTCAAGGTGGTAGCTAATAGAAATGGCGGAATTTTTTTTAACTCTTAACATTTAATGAAAACTAAATTAACCCCATCGTTACTTTCAAAAGTTTCATATACACTAAAATCTGCTCCTTCTTCCTTTTCTTCAGTGACGTATCCACAAGTTGGCAGTTTGCATGCGCTTGTACACTTTAAGTTATTAGCATTACGTAATGGTAGTTGTCAAGAGCCAGCTTGGTAATTCTACGTGTTGTGATATGGAAGCCAAACTTAGGGTATTCTTTCATCTTTTTGCTGCTTCCGGAATAGCATCTCTTTGATTTTGACGTACAATTTTCCAATGTATTTTTTGTTTTATATAATCTACTTATGTCAAATTATCGACACAGTATACACCTTTCCATCAATATTAACAAACTCTTTACTGATGTTATAGCTAAAAGCCGTATTTGATCGTATTTATTGCAGTTGTAAAGTTCTTGTTTACCGTTAAGCGGAAACGTGTGTCACGTTTTACGAGGAAGTTAGTGGAAGTGCTGTGTTTATCGAACAGGCGTCGCTTATCTGAAGCCTTTCTTTAAGGTTTTCCCAGTACTCGTTAAAGGGAGTTTTTTCACCATTAAGGAGCCAATTTTACATCTGTAATTACAACGAACCCAGTGTCGTCCGAATTGAGATACAAGTTCAATTAAAGTAGAGAAGTGAAGGTTTAGAAACATAATCCGCACATACCAATTTCATCATCATTTGTTATTTGATCATGGCTCTTCAGCTACAATATATCTATAGACGTAACTACAATGATTTTTGTAGTTAGTAATTATTTTTATTTTAATTCAATTGTTTGATCAGCTAAAGCTGTGAATAATCGTTTACTTTTGGTTGTCTTATGAGATTTTGTGTATCTTCGGTTTGCAATATTTATTAAACCGAATTTATTTTTGCGTATCTTGCATATTTTGATATCCTTTGCATTTACATGATAGAATTGCATATTTTAAGATGTATTTAAATTTTTGTTAGATTTAATCGATTTTAATTTCAATTTTTAATACATTCTTTCGGATTTTTATAACGGACGCGATAATGAAACATACTGCAAAAGCCGAAAGGAAGATTTATTGATTTAATTGATGTTTAATTTCATCATTGCCAAACTATTTTATCTTTCTATTTCTCTACGGTGATGATGGGTGATATTGTGGAAGGTTTGGAAATTGCTCCCAATAGTTTGTCCATTTCTAATGCACCTATTACTTTAGTTGAAGTAGAGTATAGTTTCTCTGCTTAGTGCTTATAAATTAATTCTTAGCGACAGGAGACAATCATTTCGTGCAGAAAACTTAGAGAAACATCTTATTGCTAGTGTTTATCGTAATACCTTTTTTATTAGAAATTATGCAACATATTATATAATTTTGTATACGTGTGCATATATATCAAAACTGTTTGCATATTTTTCGCTAATATTCTGCATAATATGCGCATAATTTTACCATTCATTGTGTATTAATACAGGCAGTAAAGAACATTCGGGAAACAATTAAAAAAAACATTTTTTTAAATTACTTATTAACAGTTGATTTTATCGAAAAAGTACCAATAACAATATTTATAGCACATATAAAGAGCTTTCATTAAGATTAATGAAATTGGATCAATAATTCCAGAGATATAGTTTACTTTATAAAACTCTACATCCGCCATCTTTGATTGGCCGCCATTTCTATTAGCTACCGCTTTGAGATGGCAATCATGATTTTTTGGCATCCTAATAAACCTGTATAACCACTGTAAAAAGGAAAATTGGTACCCCCAAATTATACCGTCATGTCGACTGGCCCATGGACTAATTAACTCTTTATTTATTAGTATATTGAAAAAGATCATTAAAAAAACAGTCAGTTTTTGTAATTTTATGGGGAGAACGGAAGCACTGTTTTGCCAATATTTAACTCTGTGTCTTAGCGTCACATTACGGCAAATTACCGAACTTTTATATAGACAGAGAAACTTGTGAGACAAATGCATTCATGGGAGGTGCTAAAAATGCAAGGAAATTTTCTTATCTTTTAACTGTGATTATGTGTCGGAAACCCTTCGGTCGCTCCGCTTCATTTGCGTCCTAGGCAATTATTACATGGGACACAAATGTGAGACTATTCCGTCCAACGATAAAATTGTTGTACCTCAAAACAGAGTAGCATTAAAATTATTCGAAATTAATTAAATCGTTGGTTAGCACAATTTTGAACCCTCAAATTAACAATTTTTATTAAAAGTAACAGTACTTTTGTTCTTCAGAATTAATGTGCCTAATAAGAATATAAAAATTAATAAGAATAGGACCCTTGACCTAATTTTAACTAACTTAAACGCGGAAATTAAATCTGCTGTCGACTCACTGGATAAAATTAATCCACTTCATCCAGCACTAGAAATAGTCTACAAAGTCCATAGACCAGCTAAGCGAATTACCAAATTAACCAACTTCAATTTCAAAAAAGCAGATTTTCTTAAAATGTACGTCCTTTTTCGCGATGTCAATTGGAAGGAGTCTCTTATCCTGAAGAATTTCAAATCGGTAGATGATGCAGTAACTAGCTTTAATCAAACGGTAATGAACATTTTCGATGAATGTGTCCCCAAAGTTACAATTAGGAGTGCCAATAAGTATCCTAGCTGGTTTAATATAGACATTATTAAGAAAATCAAACAGAAAAATAAGTTTCGGTTACAGGGCCAATCGGAAGACTTCATTGAAGCCAGAAAAGAACTCAAAAGAATGATCCACATTGCTCATAAGAGGTACATTAATCAAATTGAAATGGATCTGCGGAAGAATTCCAATAAATTCTGGAGCTACATCAAGTCGTTGAGGAAGAATAGTCAACTACCTGGAGTTTTTGAGTACAAAGACACCTCGTTAACGGACGCCAGAAGCATTGCGGACGCCTTTGCATCCTTCTTCGAGTCAGTCTACACTATGGAGAGGAACGATGACCCGGAAGATGACGTGGAATCGGACCTGGTGCTATCCAAATTGCACTTGACTCAGTTACATGAATCCGAGATACTGGAAGCGATTAAAAAATTGAAACCGAGGTCGGCTATGGGCGAAGATGGAATCCCACCCTACATCGTGAAAGGATGTGCATCTTTATTGGTAACCCCCTTACTACATCTATTTAATTTAGCTTTGCAAACATGAACATTCCCTGAA